CACCGTAACCTAATAGGGAGGAAAAGATTAGTGATGTATTCGGATAAGCAAAGAACGTGAAGGTACGTACCAGATCGTGCAATAATACTACACATAAACACTTCAATCGGTCTAGTTCCCTCCAATGGAACCTTCCCTTTTCCAGTTGTTTGGTATAAGCCCAACGCAGAGCGGAGCTGATCCTCAGAAACGGCCGCTGGATTATCAATCTTGTTACCAAGAACTAAGAAAGGAACCTTGGCGAGTTCTTCCATGGCGAGAAGGGCATCGAGCTCGAGTTTGGCTTCGGGGAAACGTTCGTAGTCGACGGCATCAATCATGAAAACGATCCCGTTAACTTCGGGAAAATAATCTTTCCAGAGGCGGCGAGCTATCCCAAAATCAACATATAAAATCGCAAAGGCGCTATAGCAAACCAGTGCCCTACCTTGAACGTGACCGCCCAAATCAAAAGTCGTGAAAGTGTTGTTGCCAATGGAGAGTTCTTCTGAATCTATTGAATGAAGGTCCGATTAGCACACAGTTTTAAATGTAGTATATTTCTTCCTTTTAGTCTTCTTTGCATCGAGCATGTACGCGTAGTATCTCCCTCGGAACATCCCAAGATTCTCAAAAGGCATATACGTACTCGGATGCGCAGTTGGTGGCAATAGCGCAACTCTACCGTTCTATCCCCCCCAAATCCATGCATTAGCAAATATCCACGATATCATCACTAGCACACAAACTAAAGCATCGCCAATCTAAACCACTCGGGGCCCACAAATACCTTCAACATCTGCAATAAAGTTGACTTTCCCGCATTATCCAAACCGAGAAATAGCAATTTAGCATGCTTGTTTAACAAGCCCAGGGAGGCGAGAATATCATAGACTAGAGATGAACAAGTGGAAGCGTTAGCAATGTTGTTCCGGAACATATGGCAGAATAAGTTTGACCTCAACACGCGACCACGCCTCATGGGGTTCCGGAACTAATCTTTCTCTCCACATCCAAATCAAACAAACGCAAGGGATCAATCCATGGGATAGAGGATGTAGCAAGTAGCAGAATAGAAGACATGGGGGAGGTTAGAAAGCTGTGGTTACTTACACCAGTTGATAATCCACATTGTTGCAAAAGTTTCACCCCCAAATCACGCACTGTGAAACAAGCAATTCAGGCAAGATATAGGAGGAAGTCCGCCTATGCTTTTGATAGAACTGGCTGGCAAGTATAAATGCAGCAGAGAAAGAATAGCTAGTTGAACCGTGATGTGTTGATGTCGTCGTCGTTGGGAAAGGTTAGTTTACTGGAAGATAAGTTGGTCACTTCATCATGGATTGCACTAGGCTTGATGCAGTTTAGTGGAGCTTAAGCTGGTTGATTAGTGAGCTAGGCAATTAGTTACATAAGCATCACCTCGGAGTGCTCTTCAACGGTGAGAGGGCATCAAATCTCCTGGACCTGATTTTGATAGTGCCTGTAAAGTTATTAGATCTTTGGAACGCATTTCTTTGCCGTATCAAGACTGTCTTAAAAAAGGATATCTGCTAAACCTCCCAGGGAAACACAAGCAGAACCACAAGAGTCCGAAGCAAATGACAAAAAATTCAGCTAAACAGTTCCTCTCCATCTGAGCATTGGAAATCAGGATAAGCCTCCCACTGGCTGGGGTATCGCATTCTCAGGCTAACGCTAAATATTAAAGAAGTAATATAAAAGAAAACGAATTGTAGCAAGACTGTTGTAACTTGCAACTGGGAAATGAAAAGCGAAGGTATATACAAAAGAAAACAGAACCAGTAGTATAAAAATGAGTTGTAAAACAGCACCCGCTGCTCCCAAAAGAAGAAATAACTCCACCTGGTCATCATGGGTCGTTATTTTATTTTATTTTTTGAACTATGCCAATAGGGAAAAAAAGAAGTCGATTTAAACGGAGAGCACAAGCGGAGGGCCATTGACGACGTTGTAAGCTTTGAATCGCTCAGCAACTTCAAGTCCAAGCTCTCTCATGCGTTCCGCGCCTTTGCCATAGAGAGGCCTTTTGCGTTCAAGCTGTTCTTTAGCCGCTTTGCGACAATGTTGACGCCAGAATTTCTCTTTGCGCTTCTCCCGCTTCTTTTCTAGGCCGGCCACAATGTCAATCGGCCCGCGGGTGTGCTTGTTGCGACGACGTGGAGCACGAACCGGAGACGTAGAAGACATTCTAGATGTTTGGCGATGAGAAAACCGAGCAAAGAACGGGTTGGGGGTCCGGGGTAATGATGAGGTACGTGTGCGATGCGGTCGCTGGGCAAGGCCAGTGAAATGCACGCGCTGGGCGCCGGTGGGAGCTCCTTGTGTGACCGAAGTGCGGCGGGTTGGCGGCGGGGATCTCAGCCGTCCAGAAGGAGGTGGCGATCTCAAACGCTTGGGCGAGCGAGCGAAGAGACGACGAGGTGGAGGAGACTGTAAGCGCTTTGGGGAATGGTTGGGCGTAGTATGACGAGCAGGTCCCTTTGGCCTTCCACGAAGAAGCTCATCATCAAATCCTTTGAACAACCCTGAAGCCTTCGCTTGCGCTCCTACACTTGTCACGGAACGTGCCTCCGAATTACCGGTTCCCTGCTCCTCGTCGTCGCCATCATCATCTTCATCCTCTAGGTCAGACGTAGGAAAGCTAGGGTCGATATCCTGAGGAATGGGAATGTGTTTTGAACGGCGACGTTCTTCCATGCAGGATATGTATGCAGCCTCCATAGGCCGATCTTCATCCAAAGTCCCACATACAAAATCCGTGCTATCGGGCAGAGTCGGAGTGCCTGGTCGAAACTTCGGGAACTTGAGTGGCTTGGTGCTGGGCTTCCGGCTTCGGGCAGCAACAGGTGTCAGAGTCTGAGTGTACGACTCGACAGACGTAGTAGAGTCACGTCTACCAGCTGTTCGCCTGAGAGCGTGTGGTTCAGATGTTTCACCGGACGCGACTTTTGGAGTCCAAAATCCATGTTCTCCGGAATCGTCGCTTTCATCATCAGAAGACGCAAAGCCAGCTTCATTATCGGACTCATTCCCATCGGACTCATCATCCTGAACGGTAGAGCCGTCGTCGCCGTCATCACCATCACCATCGTCATCATCTTCATCTTCGTCCGCATCATCCTCATCCTCTTCATCGTTTTCGGCATCCTCTTCATCTTGTCTGGCTTCTTCTTCCGCCTCCTCGCCAAGCTTTCTGATAGCGATCTCTTTGCGCATGCAGTCATTCATTGTAAGCTTCTGTCCGTACTCAGTAGTCTGGTTTATCCAATCATCATCATCTGATTCGCTACCAAATTCATGATAACGCACGGCATCTGAAAGCTCTAACGGGCTTGTCGTTTTCACTTGAATTATAGACGGAGACTTTTCAGGGGCTGTCTGGGATTGGAGTTTTGCTTGCTGCAAAGGATGGACGGAGGCTTGAGTGGCTTTGCGCAATAATGAAGGTGCGGGAGATCGGCTAACTCGAGCACCAGGCACAACTTTTCGGGTGGAAACACACTCCCTTTGGTCATTCCCATCAGAATCAGCGGGGCGCGCGGGGCAAACGAAGGTGAGAGCCGACTTCCGTTTGAAAGGCTCGGCTTTGGCGACTTCTTTTATAGGTTCGCTGGACACTTTATTGTCATCTTCGGTAAGCCGTCGGCCGCAGGCAAAAGTTATGCAACGTTTTCGACCCAGATTAGCTTCCAATTGCAATTCGCGTGTGTCCACCGGTTTTCTGATATGGCTACCAATGTGAGGCAACCGGTTATATTGCGGGGGCGGACTGGGGGTATTGGAGCGGAAAGGGCTGGTAGTCTCGCTGTCACTGGTCAGCTCAGCCGTCGAGGGCACACTTCGGTTTGACAGGGCAGAAGATGTCGTCAGCCCCGTCAAATCCCCGATTGATGGCAGATTGGCAGCCAATGGATCGACGGGAGATAGCTCTGGACTGCTAAGCAGGGCTCTGGTAAGGAGTGATTCTTTCTTGTGTCCTCCCACACCGATGGTTTTGGTCTTGGCATAGATTGGAGAAGGGACGGTCAAAGAGCGGTTTCCAGCCAAGCAGGGCCTAGAGAGCGAGCCTCGGTGATCTGGAGGTTCATCGGGTTCAGCGGGCACCTCGTCACCATCTATCGTGGGAGTATTGGCGACGTTTGATATTCGCAACATATCGACAGGAACGGTAGGCATTATATTGATAAAGCGAAATTTAACGGAAATCCGATGTAATGAGTATCGTCAAGCGAGAACTCGTTGTAATGCCGAGATCTAGAGCGTTCTTTCACAGCAATAACGGCGTCTCTTTCAACGGTTTTATCAAAGTGATATCAAAGCCAATAAAAGACCACCAAGACAAGTACGCCACCCAGAAACGAGATCGAAGGAAGGGCAGAAAGTAGTAGTTCAAGGGCAACAATTGGTAAATATCGAGCGGCTGTATAGATCGAACAAGAGCGTCAAGGCTGTCCCACTGAGGATTGGATGACCCCAACCCAGAGAAACCACCGACGGAGACGGTTTAAAACCGGAATCAGATCGATATGAGTTTGGCGTCCATGTGGACAATTATTGTCATAATAGTTGGATGAAGAGCATGGTGATGTGAAACGACGAACGGGCCGGTAGGATTTAATATGGGAACGAAAATGGTTCCGATTGTGTTGCCCGTCAGGCACGACGCGCAACCCCGTCCGGGCCAGGGAATGCGTTCGACAAAGACGGGGAGGTCTGCGAGCGAGCCAGCGGCGAGAGGGTCAAAGAAGAAACCCTCAGTGAGGGCGGACAAGCGAGTTGGTTATTCGATCGTCAAGGAGGCTCCTAAAGGTATGCAGGGCGAATAAAGGGAGACGCAAAGCGACGGTCGCCAGGTGAATCAGCGGCAGCTTTTTGCGGTTCGACGGGCGTTAAATGAGGCACAGGGACGGGCGCGAGCAAAGACGAGCAGCAGGAAGATGTTGCGAGATGAAGAGCAACATGTGGGAAGCGATGATTTGAAGTTGATGTTGTTGTGGGGGCAAACCGGAGGATGACAAAAGGGGGGAAGCGCCTGTGACAAGCCTGGACGCTCGCTGGCTCGGTTTCTTACGGCCGCGATACCACGCATCCACCATCAGGTCAGCACAGCCCGCATTATGATTGGCCGGCCGCGGGAAAAAATACATCGCAACGCCGAAGCCTTGTACACTGCCGGTTCCATCGGTGGTTTCTTTGACTCGCTGGAAACAAACACAAAAAGGGCTCAACCATGGGAAGCCCGCTGTTCCAGAATGAAATTAACCGCAGGACAAAAGAAATTGAACAGCAATCCAAGAGGGAAAATTCTATTTTTTTTTTGCTGCAGAATTCAAAGTGTGCCGTGGGACTACGGTTGCTCGCATCAAGCATCCTCTTCCGGCAACTGATATTCATCCACTCTTGGTCACAGCCATCACCCGGCAAATTACCTAGCTTCAGGGATGGCCCTTTCGATGCACCTCATCGAATCTATATTATTTGAGTGTATGTCATTATAGCGCCGTTCTCAGGTGTAACTCGTTCCGCACCGCCTGCAATGACGCATGACGCATGGCTTGTGACACCCTTCGAGATGTATGCTGTGTAACCAAAAAGGGCCCACGGCACAGTCCGAAGGGCCGTCGCCAGCAAGTAATAATCACGTTCGACTTGTCCATCGGGATCATGGATGATGAAGCTGATGAGCATTCTTGTTTCTGTTCAACCGTTTCATCAGCCGTTTCAGACAACCCCGCCCGGGTTGATATCGCGCCACGCGGATTTGAAATCGACGATCTCTCATCTGACATCGAGAAATCCAGGAGTGCCAGGGGAACTCTCTGCCCGGCTAACGGGCGCAACCGAGGAAGAAGGAATAACCTTCCCAACATTCGATGGTCGTGTTTCCAATTCACAAAATGCACATCCTGCGGCATGTTTCGCATGGCCCAGCAACAAAAAAGCAAAAGGACTCTGGTAGGCGTGCTCTGAGTGAAGCTGCCCGCTCAGACACCATCACCAAGGATGCAGTCAAGAATTGCTAGGATGTCAGGGTAGGGATTCTTTTTGCGAACAAGCAGCGGTCAGTGTGCTGATGATCCTGGACAGCTGGAGAACCCGCCAGCTTGGCAAGCGGCAAATAGGCTGTCGGATCGCTTTCCCCGTCTTGACACTACCCTCGAGGTATTTGTATTTACATAGTCTGTAGAAGAGATCTTTGATCGCGCTCAACATTTATTCTGGGACATATGCACCCACCTGACAGGAATAACTAGTTTAATCGTAATTCATCACCACAACTTACTAAAACAAAGATGATTATACACTGTTACCAATCCTCAAGTTTCTCCTGCAAGACACCTAAATATCCATGCAGAGATCTAAAGAATGCTAATCATCACCTGGAATAACCCAATGATCCTCACATTCGCTGCGTCAAGCTGCAACGGCATCGCTACCCAGTCGCACGCTGCATTTCAACTCGGTTGAAAGCTTGCAGGACGCCCTGCCGAGGATAAAGACAGATCCATGTCCTATTGATTGTATGTATGTGGGCACATATCTACATACATCGAATCAATTCCTCCGTTTCTCCAGCACTCTTCTCCAAGCAGATTGGATGGCAACTGCAGCCCTGGCACGCTTCGACGCCGATAAAAGCCGAGAGCACAAAAATGCGAGCGCGCCAACCGTGAAATCTTGATCGAAAATATGCGCCGCAGAACTACCCGATGGAGCGACTAGAGACGCTGCAATTTGAACATATCATTTAGCTCTCTGGCAGTCATTCATGTCGGTAACTAGTGGTTGCTTACCAAATTGAGAACTGCAGCCCAAGTTCTTAAGTCGTTGTGCCAGACTACGTTTTCGGGTCTGAGATTGGGCCGTATTCAACTCTTTCCTATTGCCCAGCAAAATGAACGGTTCATACTCGTCGACGATGCTCTCGAATATCTTCCCATTGGCAAAACTAGTCGTCATGTTCTCAAGATGAACTCCTTTGAGTCTCGCAAGGCATGATGCCCATTCTCTTAATAAGAATACCCCTCCTTCATATTCATCAACAGAGTCTTCTTGATTGCCCGTCGCGCTTTGGTCGGTGTGCTCGCATTGTGTTGGCCCTTTGTTTTTTGACCTGAGCCGAGTTATCTCCCGCTTCAAATCGCCCCAGTCAAGCAGACCCGGCAAACCCCATGTTCCTACCAAGCCCCACAGCAAAGCAATGGTTTTCTCACGATACCCGTCCACGATGTCCTCGGGGCGAATGTCTTTGACAATTGTGCCTATGCCTCGAACTTCGGAGAGCGCGCCCAACGCAATCTGAACGTTGAAAAGTTTCGTTGCTCTGCTGGGACACGGAATCTTCAAATGCTGGGATAGTGGCCATTCATTCATTCCTTGTGAAAGCGGCAATGTCTGATCTGCTGGCATTTCAAGAGACACAGTGCTCTCTAGGTCCTGTGACTCTTTTTGGAGTAACAGGAGTTCAACTAGCCTGGTTAATATGATCCCATCCCGAAGATCGACAGCAAGATTCTTGATTCGATACTCATGCTCATGCAAGCGGTTTTGCTCGTAGACAACCTGGCAGTCCAAGTGACTGAGTGGGCGCATAATATCTCCGATTGTCGGCAGGAGCAAGTGTCCCAAGGCGCGAAGCACCGCGGCAGACGATTTGTACTCTGAGGATGGTATAAATAAACATCTAGGAAGCGATGACCCGGGTGCAATCCGTGTCTTATCGAGGAGTAGAATGATCATTATGCTCCTGAGCAGAGTCTGGCAGTACGGCGATCCTTCCGCTCCATCTTCGCCGTTATACTTTACGTTTCGCGTAGCAGAACTTGAATCCTCGTTTTTAATCAGGAACATGTCTAGGTATTCCTCCAAGGATCGCCGCAAGGCTTTCCCATGTAGCGGTCTCGACGGGACCTGTGAATCATCGGGTTTTGACATCCTTCTTCCAATAACTGTTTCCGCCGCAGCTGTCAGGGCCGTGAGATCATAATTATTTAACCAGAGGTTCAAGAATTTCCGACGCATTCCTACGTCGTCTCTGAGACGATTGCCACGGTTGAGGATGTCTTTCGGCACCCGTAAAGCTCCGTATAGCATGGACGCCTTGACGCGTTTATATAGAAGCGAAAAATATGCATCTTGATACTGATCAAGAAATTCGAGGCGCAAATCCTGAGGATTTCCTGCAGACGCAACCTGATGTGCCGAATTAAAAAGGCTATTCACGAGTTGCGTGATAACAATCTCTTGATGTGCCAACCAGTTCTCCTCGTACATGAATGGATTGGGTATATCTTCGTCAAGAATTGGGTATTTTTTTGAGATATCAAGATCTGAAATACGGGGAGCTGCGAGCTTCAACGGTGCCATTCTTTTGGTCGGTTGTGCTAAAGGCGATTTTCCAGGTAGTTTTGCTTGACCCCTCGTCGTTTTCTTGACATTTTTAAATGCATTTGGTTCCTGGGTTACTCCAGTTGAGAGCCTGAGACCAGCTTTATTGAAAGCTCCATTCCGCACTCGAGTCCTGGGACTGTTCGGACAACTTTCTCGCAGGACTAATGATTTCCCTTGAGCTGCGGCCCGGTGCTGTGGTTTCGTACCCTCTTCGCCAATAGATACAGGCGATTCTCTAATATCCTTGACAGGAACGGGTTTAAGATCGGGGAGAGCAGCCGGACAAGTTTCCGTCTTTTGTTTGATATCAGTCCCAGCCAAAATTCCCGGTGGTACATTCTCTTTCCCGGTATTCGACCCTGCAACATCGTATTTTATTGCTGTTTCTTGTGCAATATGGGCTGGCTGGTGCAATGGTGCCCTCTGCGGTGTTGTTGCTGGCTTCTTAGCCTGCGAGCGTTTCTTCGCAATCCGAGCTTCAAAGCTATCCATCTCATTTTCTTGGATGAGGTCCGTTTTTAACGGGCTAAAGAGGCTCATGAACATGGTTGGCATTGTGTCGTCGGGAGGTATGTATATAGTTCCCCTTCTTCGGTCTCTCTTCAATGGATCCTTCTCTTCTGTTTCCAACGGTTTGCTTTGTTCAAGAGATCTCCTCGTGGTTTTGCTTGACACCTGTTTATTTTGCACCAAGGACGGTCTCTTCAGCTCGGATATCCTTTGATTTCCCTTCGGCGAGTGGTCAGCCGCGAATCTGACTTTTTGTTTTGCTGCTGGCCTCTGGGCTGGTTGATTCAACATCGATGAGGCGGCGATTCCCATCGAGGTTCTCCGCCATGCAGCTGTTGGGAGCCCACTGGCTTTATTTGCTGCGGAATCTTCGTGTATTTTGAATGTTGCTGCTCGTTTCACCCTCCGTGGATGCTGCTGTATTTTGTTTGATACTGAGCGGAGATCTGTAGTGAAGTCTATTGCAGCTGTATCATCACCATTGTCATCGTATATGGCGAAGGTGTTTACAGAAAGCGTGGAATGCTTCCCGTTTGTAGGACATGGCGTCGCTGCTTCAGAATAGCCAAATGGAGGCATGGTTCGTTCGGATCTGGCTGTGTTTGTTGTGTGGTTTGGTGAATGGTTTAATCAATACACAATGGCGCTGGTCTCTTGAAAAGGCATTAAAACTGGTCGCCTTCATAACCCTGCATACTAAATTTGCAATTCTATAATAATTCAAAGGTTGGTGGTTGAAAGCTCCCTTGACTCGCGGTTGTTTCCATCCGTCTCCAGGGCAACGGAAGAGAGCTGGCTAGTTACATAATCACAATTGCACCAGCAATTTCGAATGAGAAGCAGCTTGAGGATCAACTCGCCTGGAAAAATGGCTGCAAGGCTTGAATATCCTCGTGTAATTTCGGGGCCACAGAATAGCCTGGGTTTCTTCATGATCTTTTGTGACGAGAGAAGACACTGTTGTGTGTCTATCTAAAAAAACAAATCCCTCATTTCCAACGACCAAACTCCAACACTTTGTTAACTTACTAGCTGTTGACCCCTTTGCTAATATGCAAAACTAGAAGATTTGAAAACAATGCAACAACAAGTTTTTTAATATTGCCAAACTCTTAAAGTGAAAATGATAGAGCAAGCCATTCTTCAAGTTCCTCCAGACATAGAACCTTGAGATCACCCTCATTATTGATCCTCCACCCAGGGGCATTGAAATCCAGGCGGCGCTATGATCTTTCACGCCAAAAAAAAAAAGGAAAACGGAAAACAAACAAAAGGGGAAGAACATGCAGACACGATCAAAAGCATTGCAATTTAGAGAAACCAAGCCCCAGCAGAACAAGCGAAATAAACCCCATACATGCACAAGACGCCAGAGAAGAAGCGTGCAGGAAGCCAAAAAGAGAACCACACAAGCCACCAGTAACGCGGTATAATACAAAGCCTAGCTACAAAGGCATTTTGGTAAAAAACCCTCCTAAGCCCATCTCCACCTTCAGCTGTGCTGGGAATAAGTAGTCTGGAGGATAATCTCAGACTAGGATAGTAAGCTGATGCTTTCAATAGTAAAAGAGGGAGTAACAAGATCATGACCCTGTAATAATGCAACCCATAAAAAGAGTGAGAACAAGGTAAAAAAAAGGAAGAAAGGGGCAAAAAACAAAATGGTATAAAATTAAAAGAGTCAAGAGGAAGAAGACGAAGAAGAAGGAAATGCAGAAACTAGAGAAAATCGGAGAGAGCCAGACCCAAAATACAAGAAAAGAACCGAGATCCCCACCAACATCATACAATCATTTCTTTCGTAACTTTTGGTTTTGAAAAGGCAGAGAAGCCGACACCTGTGTCTAAATCCAGGTAAAAGGGTCATGTACAATCACCCAAAAAGAGGAATGTCCGTACAAAATCAGAACAGGGTGCAGTAAAAGTGTCAGCGCTGTGGGCGGACAGGCATTGGTCGTCAAATAGGTTTCAACCCAAAGCTCGACCGCCAGAAGTAATAGCCTGGCTACTGGTCCTGGTCAGGGGTGGAGGTTGGATAGGACCAACAGGATGAAGGTCGGTGCCACCCGGTTGGAATCCAAGATCTTTCTGTTTATGGCCCCAGGCTTCATCGTCTAGGACAGTCAACCAATTGGTGCCGACTTCCTGTTTCAATGCCTCTAGGCGCTGGCGGTAGATATCACCACCACTATCCCAATCGGCATTTTGAATCACAGGAAGGAAATGCGCGGTATTTGCACCTCCGGGAACTTTGGTTGAAACTGGCGATCCTGAAGCAGAACCAGTATCCAATCGTGGGAGAGTGGGTCGTGTGAGTGTATCTAGACGTTCTTGGAGGCGAGGCTCAGATTTGGGAGTGCTTGGCTCAACAATGTCCGTGTTATCGGTGTCTCTCCCCTCATCTTGTGATAAATCAACAATTCTACGCCTATGACCCTTCTTGCGTCGAGTAGACCCATTCGCGTGTTCATGTTTGCGCGAGGAGCCAGGTATCGCCGGCATTTCTTCCGGGGCTTTTGTGGGTGTAGGCCGTGGCTTGGTCTCCAGAGCATCAAGGTCGTGAACATTGGTCTGTTCGCTTTGTCTGATCACTGGAGCGCTCTCGGGTTCTGCGATTCGCTCAACAAGCCTTTTCCTTTCGGAATAAGTTGGCCCGGTACCGTCAATCAAAATATCCTCCGAGTACCCTGGGGTGCGGCGGAATAGGTTAAAGATGGTAACCCTGTAATCGGGATGCGATTTGGTAAACGGGTTACCCGCCACCCAAATCTCACGGAGGTATGGGATAGAAGTCAATCTAGCCATCTCTGTTGGATCGGGAATGCTGTTCTCTCTCAGATCAAGACGTTCTAGAGAAAGTAGGCGCTCAACTCCGACAATGGATCGCAAACGATTCGCTCGAAGATTCAAAGCAGTGATCGCGGGAAGCGGGCTTCGGGATAACGAGTGCAAGGAATCAATCATACAATGTGATAGATTTAGCGAGCGGAGAGCTATTAATGTTGACAGGCTGTCGGGAACTTCTGTGAAAAGATTCCATGACAAGTCCAAAGAGTGTAAAGTGTTTGCAACCGGTGCAAGTCCGGTAACTGTGATGTTTGTCATAGAGTTATTGGGTAAACCCAGGTGACGGAGGAAGCGCCATTTGGTCGATGGCAGTATTCCAGCGGCGAGGAGATTTGACATGCTCCGATTACGATACACAGTAGATCCCTCGCTGGAATTTGAGCTTCCAGAACCGGAGCGCTTGATCTTTATAGATGATCCACGAGCGTGCCGGCGTCTCGAACTGGGAGGTCGCGGTGGAGAAGTGCCCATTTGAGCGTGTTGCAGACCCTCTGCGGAACCGGTTCTAAGCATAGCAGAGCCACCCTGTGGGCCTGAGCGGCTTCCAAAATTATGGCCAGAAACGGGGGATCCAGGGGCGGAGGAGGCTCTCACAGGCTCCGGAGGAACTGGACTGGCAGTCAGACCGCTCAGAGGGGATTGAGGGTTCCTTGCGGATCTTCGCCTTCGTTTGTCAATGTCGTCCAATACAATTCCTGTAAGTAGGTCTCCAATATCCTCAATGTTGGCACGTTTCAAGGTCAGAGTCCTCAATTGTTCAGATAAGCGGTCCCAGCCATAGAAAGAACGAAAGTCCACATCAATTATTTCGAGAGAACCAAGGTTTTTGAAGGCATGAAGTGGAACAGCAGTATCAAATGGAAATTCCTCATAGCCGCGGATCAAACGGGCGCGATGGTCAGGGGCCAACCTTAGACAGGGAATCTTGGTGAATGCAGAATATAGATATTTCAAATCATTTTCAACGGCAGCCCTGGCCTTTTCGGTTTTAGATAGGGAATCCTTGGATCCTAGGCCAAAGGAAGTCCAAAACCCGCTCATGCCAGAGAGCACACTGCGGACGCTGGAGACGGAGTGGATCGAGTCCCTGTCACCATTGGGGCGGCGAGGCTTGTTCAAGAAAGATACATAGGCCGAGGATGCTTCCGTATTGATATTTTCCAATCGAATATTCATGGGACCTACAGGGACTGATAGTTCCTCGAAACGCGACAAAAGATAGAAAACGTGATGAGGGGTGAGGGTCAATTTTGCAGGTTTGATATTGTGCGACGTAAAATTCAGTGAGCCCAAAGAGAAGACGGCAGCCAAGGAGGAGGATGTAGCAGAACGGTTGGACGAGCCATGGCGGCTGACGACCGGCGGGGAGGTAGACGAATCGAGGCTTTTTGAGGTCTGGCGTCTCATCTGAAGAGCATTGGCCAATGCTTTCTCATGAGTGCGTACAAATCTCGCGAGGTTCTGTTTCAAGTAGCACACGAGATACGTTAGCAACTATGATGGTAGAGAGGAGTGCGCGTCTGTCGGCCTCACGGATGGAATGCTACTTACCTTGATGAAAAGCTGGCCATCTTCAGTATTTAGCTTCTCCATCTTGACAGCTTCAGTGGCCAAGGAAGTAAATCCAGTCAATCGCAGGATGTGCTGCAATCACCGGAAGCATGAAGGTATCGAGTAGGGAGACGACATCGTGAGTACAGGAACAGGCCTAGGCAGCGAGGTAAGTCGAGGCTCGAGGCAGCCGGCTGTCACCTGGGAACGAGTGACAATCCAAGCAAGGCTGCGACCTGACTCGATGAGGGTGAGTCAATGGTGCGAGATCAGGGCGCCTTGCTGGAGGAGGTGCTGAAGACGCTTACGCTGAAGCCGCGATGCACAGATAATCGACAGCAGAGTTTGACTCTTGCTCAGAGTCAACGGGGTCACTGTTATGTATAATACCTATACAGAGAAGGACGATTACTGAGGAGAGGGTGTGGGCTGGTGGTTCACAATGACCCGTTCCTGTTCATGTGGCCCTGGCGGTTGACTTGGGGACGCTGGCTGAGGTCACCTGGACAAGATAAAACACAAGAAACCGTAGAGAACACCACAGAATCGAAAGTGTAGGAAAAGCGACGAAGCGAGAAAAATCCAACACTGGCAAGGAACCCTGACGCTGAAGATCAAAAAGGTCGACGAGAGACGCTAAAGCTATGGAAAGGGATGTCGATTGAGATTGCGACTATTCCAACTGTGTGCAATGCGCCCACCACTCGCGAATCTGGAGGGTGTGACGACGAAGCTGCCACAACAGCCGGGGAAGAGAGGGAAGAGTCAAGGGAGGAGGTGGACAGATGGAAATCTCGCCAGAGAAGCAAAAGGGAAGAAGAGAAGACCAGCAGGAGCGAGAGGAGGAGAATCGGTTTTCTTATTATGATTCCGAGATGACTGGGGACCCCTTTCGCTAGCGGGGATTTCTGGCTGCGCTTCCGTATTCGGGGCCATGTAACGACTTGCCAGGATGAGGGGCGCCAAAGAGAAGACGGATGGGCTTATTTGCTTTTCTTCCGGGAGCGACAAGGGGGGCCGTTCTTTTTTCTGGTGCTCACCCACTCCCGTTAAGCCCTTTGCAGTTAACACCGCTGCCGGTCACAGGAGCGGCGACTGAAGCTAGGACGGCACAAGTGGGCATGCTCAACCGTGTCTTCCTGATGACAAGCAGCCAAATCCAACCCCATACTCGTCCATGCTTCGAACTAACAACGAGCTAGGAGAATCCATAATCCATCGTGACCCAGCAAACCTCACATGCCACAGGCTCTTGACAGGGAACAGACGATTCTAATTTCAGGCGTGCTGGTCCCTGGTTGTTCTCATTGGACCACTGGCACTTTGACTTCCCTCGATAAAGGTTCACTTCATAGTACGGAGTAGTTGTTAACGAGATGTGTGCGCAGTTCACGGTCAGGCAACCTCAATCGGCTGTCATGGTGAATGTACATAGTCAGCTTTGGGAGACCCGAGCGAGTGTTTTGAGGTCGGGAGGTTATGATCCATCAGATCACAGTGTGACAAATTGCAGCGTCTTCAGCACTAAATCCTGCGTTTAGCAGTGCTTTGCTTGCGCTTTGGTACATTGTGGCGCTGCTGGGAATAGCTGACCGTCGGTCATTGCATTTTCGGCGGCAGAGCTCCGCCAGTCACTACGATGCGGCGACAATTCAAAGATCTCTTGACTTTTGGAATCGTTAATAATGACGCTGAAATTTACACGGTGTTTCGAATCGCTTTGAGGATATTCAGATAATGTCCCTCTCCACACTGGATGTCCATCGAACCACCCGTCGATCCAAGCATCCCGTCGCTTGTTTTGAATTTTTCTTAAGACCCGCTTCTGCTGATACTGCGCCGTCCATGGGTGGTTCAAAATGGCGTGAAACCGCCGATTTCCACGGGTCGGATGCGGATTTACTGCACCGTTGAGAGTGGAATACCACACTACACGATTCCATAGCTTGCAGTGGTTGTTCATTGTGAGATCGTAAAGAAAACCACTGTGTCAACGATGAGGCATATTCGCAGATGCTTTACTCATCCTAACCCACCCGACTGATCCAGCGATGAGAAAGCCGATTTCGGGTTACCTTTTTGCGTTTAGATTTGCGAAGAGAGTTCGCTATCGACGGAATAACACCAACGGCGGGGGCCGTTGGCTGATGTTAAACATCGCTCCTCGTCTCAAGCACAATGAACTTGATAACGACTCATGCTCTCGTTCGCGATTGGAATGGCGATAACACGATGACGTCCTCCCAGTCCTTTGATAGACACTATTTTCCATCTCCCATCATTGGCCACCCTTACCTCCAATGATTTCCAGCTGCATGCACAAGTCCATCACTGAACATATCCTTTCCACCCCGCCCGGCAATCGGATTCGTTGATTATCCAGTTAGCGCACACCGCCTAGCTGGCCCGGCACGCCACACTCTTGCTCAAGAAACCGCATTTCGAGTGTGATTCGGGAACAAGAGAGGAGAGATTCGGGTTGGCATTGGCACGTCTGTCCATCTCCAGCCCCGATTTTTTTGTGTCACAAGGCTATCCCCACCACCTGTGATCACCGGCACGCCGTCCGCTGGTGGCAATGATGTATGTATCTTCAACGTCAAAACAGGCTGAAAGGAGACATCCTGGCGATTTTAATGGAAAGCAGTAGAAAAGCCGTTCATCTGCAAATGCAAGCCATGAGGGGCAACTCACCAATGACGACCACCAGACTAATATCGGCTTTGAGTTGCCATGAAAGACTACAGCAAGGGTCAACCCAGCCGCAGCATCTGCCCTGTCGGCCCTTCTCCTCTCTCTGACTGGACCATCTCACAGCACGTCGATGTTAGCTGCATCTGCCACCACGCTTCAGAAGTCCGTTGCGAGGGGAGCCGAATCCCACATATCTCTACAGAGAAAATCCCTGGCCCACCACTCATGACGACGCAGTTGACTTCTCCATACTAAACAACTGATCTGCCTCGTAACAGGACATATTGTTCCCTTTCAAGAGGTCGTTCTCTCCATCCATGGCAAATCCCACTCTGACGCGTTGGCGACATTTGGTGGAGCCGATTTCTGCGTTCCCAGTGCTTCCACCAGTAGCTAGCTATTTACTCGATCCTTTTAATGCCATATGTCAGGTTTGAGATCCACACCGTTCATGACTGACTGATAGACTAAACAGGAAGCTTTGATATGACGTCCCAATAAGAAAAAAAATGAAAGAAAGAGAAGAATTACCCCTCCATCCGATAACGAAAACTTTCGACACCTGATAACCACGGTCTTTCTCACCTAGTTATCTCCAAAACTCCCCAGAAAATCAACATGGACAAGAAACCAAAGAGACCAGGGGAGGGACATCGCGCCCACCCCAGCTCACCGCCATCTCGCACATGGCACTCCTTTGCTTTTTGACCATTTTTCTGCTTCCGGGATGTCTTTGTGGGGAGAAAGGGGGGCTGGGGTGGTGGTCGGCGCGGGGGGGGAGAAAAGAGAAACGCCCTTGTTTCCCTTCCAATTTGTTCTGCTGGATTTTTGCCGTAGTTACCGGGATTACTGCGCACAAACTCCCTGGATCCTACATCGTGGGAGGTTGAACCCGGCCCAACTCGTTGATCATTCCGACTTGACTCGCGTTGCCTTGGCGTGCAAGCTGCTTCGTTTGGGCGGTTTGATTTTGCTGGGTCGGGGTTGCGGCGAAGCGGCGTTTCTTTTTTGGCTTGTTGTCCTCTTATTGAATCATGAACGCTGGTTTTGAAATGGATGTCAGATTTCAGATATGGGAGTCTCTGCTGGTTTCGAGAATTTGGTTGCTGGTGATTCGTTTCATGCCCATGCAAATTACTCCGCGCTTGGCGGGTGGTTATATCTCCAGCGTTTAGAGGCCGGTAACTCTAGAGACGATTTCCCAAGTTTAAACATTTGTACCATACTATATTTAAAACACACTCGCTTGCATGAAAGATGAACCAACTGGCTGTTTTATGGTTATCTACGGAGGAGTCAAATCAAATCCATCTGCCTCTCACGAAAACAAGCTGGGAAGATCTGCTTTTTGGCGCTTTGCTGGGCGATACGAGAACTAGCTACTCAAACCACCTCGGATCCTTCATTTCTTTGGGATGAACACTCAAGCGGTCAAAAGGGCACCCAAAACCCTATCACTGGGAAGTAGATGTTGTCCCCCATGTCAAATTCACCGATGTCACCCGAAGGACGGTTAGCTTTTGTTCATCGGATGATAAAGAATCGAAGCGTTGGTGCGAACAAAAGCTTATACCAAGCACCAACTGAAGGCTTGGCTGGATATAAAAGTCCCAAGACTGTAGAACGACAAGATGAAGAAACCCGTAGATGATCTTCTCCAGGATCATAGTTAATCTTGGAACGCGGGCAAAGATCAAGAGCATTTAAAAATTTCCTTGAATGAGGAGCATTCCCGGATGACGCAGGACAAACACCTGGCGAACGGTCCATCAGGCCTGTTGGTCTTCCGAGTGAAAGACCAGCACTGACAACTGACAGACATGATAGGTGAGGCGTGAAGCAAGAATCCCAAAGCCCAAGTCGCCAGGCCACGACATTCGGGTATTGCAACCGACGGCAGAATAGAAGCCTGGAAAGTGAAATCGCCCCAAGACAGCATTTTTGGCTGGCAGTATGAGACACCCTTTCCAGGCTCTTTACCCGATTTTGATCCATCCATGGGAACAAACTTGCTCTTTAGCGGAGTAACTAGTGCAATCTAAACGAGAAAGAGGCTTGATTTTGACAGGAAGGCCCACAAGCTGAGAACTTGACGTTGATCCGCTCGGAATATCGCCGAACGACCGGTAGGATAGGCAATCGTAGGTTGTTATAACTAGTGGTTTCTTTTCTGGCATCTTGTGCAAGTGCTCCAGGAATTCAAAACGTTGCCCACTATTTGTGGTTTACTTGACCCTCTGATATTGACATGAGATCAAAGTACCCGCAATGTTACGTCAACTGTTCATACCGTCAAGTCATCGTCCGTCGTCACACTGTGCTGTAGAAACAAGAAAGGAGTACATAACCTTTTCGGAAGACGGACGGGAAGCCTGTTCGCCTTCTTGCGGATGAGGACCCCTTCGTGAAGCTCAACCGAGGGAGAATTTCCGCAAGATTGAAACCACATGACGACTTAGGGATGCACACACAAGAGCCCGCACCGTATTCAGATGAGCTGCTTTCCAGGTTGGATCCAAAACGCTGGGCATTGTTCCTTCCCCCCACCAGGCGGTAACAAAAATAGTTTGCAATCGATCTTAATATTGGATAATTGGTTTCCAATTTGCGGGGGAGATGGGAGATCTCAAAAGTTGGCTTGTGCTTGACGAAAAATCGGCCAATTAGATGCTAACTGGTCAGAGAAGGGGACCCGATAGAGAGGATTCCCAATTTCCCAGCACGCGATCGATGTCATGGAGGGATACACAACACTGTGAATGGTTATTTTCCGCGAGAGCTCTGATACAAACTGACTGGAGTCTGACGGAATCTCAGACGCGATAGATAGACGGATAGATGCTGGTAGCATCGCAATCATCGGTCCTGCGGCTATCGCGCAATCAAATCCCTTGGCAGATAGGAGCCCCAGTGTGTCTTGGCGCCTGATGCTCGAAATTGCCGCTTAACCTGTCTTCATGCAGCATGAAATAGGTATCTTTTGGGTGGCGATTGAAACTGTTTGTTCTCGGAATCCCCGTTCTGTTCAATTCTTATGTAGTCTCCCACAGCCGTAGCAAAGTCCAAAATAAAATCGCTGAATTTTGAGGCCGTTGTCAAAACTTAAAAAAGGGATCCTTCGGGGCCTGTGCACTCATCAACCTTATTGCTATAATAGCAAAGTTAAACCCCCCGCACTCCCGTCGAGATACGTGTATCTTGATATCGCATGGCGGCGAACTGAGATTGTAGTTAGATATGTAAATTGCCGTCAGGAGATTCAAGTTTGGCGATACAAATTCCAAGTATACAGCATCGATCGACGGAAATGCCAAAAGGCCTTGGTCAAATGAACGAACTAGCGTCAATCAACGTATGGAGCCATCGCGAACAGCAGCTCGGACTAATTAGTAGCGTTAAATGTCATCAGATCATTGAGTTCGCCCCAGTGATGGACGTTGACGGGATGTATGCAACTCTCCATACTCAGTAGCTCCCTCTGCTCATGAGACTCGCATGTGAAGGCGGGCGTGGTGAGCCATGAAGCACTCCTCGTTGCTCTGGAACTGTAATGTCTACTCTGTACTCCGTACTCTGGCGAATGTTCCAGATTTTGAAACATTGCCCTGGGGCCACTGCTGGCTGCAGCACGGCTCAGTTTCGACCACACCAACTCGGCAAAATGTCTAGCTTCCCCGGATGCATGCTGTCTTGTCGGGCCAGGGTGTCCCTTTATGACGGAAAGCGGGGGAGGTCAACCGCGATCTCAAGATATCCTTGCACCGCAACCACAGCCGGACATATTTGGTCAAATGACAAATGTGTGCATCCTGAGTTCGTTCTTCCTATCGACTTTCGAAGTGTGGATGAGGGATATTCCAGGTAGTTAGGAGCGACAAGTAACTTGTGAGCAGGGTTACGTAATCACTTGACAGTGTGGCTGAAGCTTGTGGCTGGAGAGCTAAATTTAGATCGGCAGTTGGTAACATTTCCGAACCAACGATATTACCACTCTGACTCAACGGTTGCAAGAAACTAGCAGCGCTGGTTCAGGATGCCGCAAACCTCTTCTCTCTTCCTTTACATGCCCGGCTGTTTTATTGATTGTGCGCGCAAATGTATTCTTTTGTCAACCGGCAAAATGGCATGCTCAATGTGGCCTGTTGAAGCTGAGGACGTGGACTTGCTCGTGCGTACCGTTCTCGTATTCCGGAATCGAGGAAAAGCTCATTTGCTTGTATTTCCTTGAATAGACTGGCAGCCTCCCGAAGAGATAGCAGCGATTCATGAGCTTCTGCGATGTAGGCCTTGATAGAGTCAACAAGCGTACGGAGTACAAAAGCTTCCAACTTGATAAACTTGATGTCAATCACATGACATTTGTGCTTATGTAAAATACCGTGGGAGGGCACCATGACGTAACAAACTACGAGCCCGGTGGACGACAGCTCAGGCTCAAGGTTGGAGCTTCGTCGCTGCGGCAAGCAAAGATAACGGCAGACGCAGCGAGAAGGAAGTTGACAATGAAGACTTCAGCGGCCGACGATGATGATGAAGGGGAAGATTATGGACTCCCGGACTTTCATACTCGGTTTATCAACGATGAAGATCTCTGCCAGTTTGGAAAAGCACTCAACGCTCCCGAAGCCCTGTCTCTTGTTGCACTCAATGATTGGAGGCCTATCCATCAGCGAGTACGGAAACCAGGAAAGGTACCCAAAGCTCCTAGAAGAACAAAAGATGAGACGAGAGAAGGCATCGTTTACACTTTACTGCAATGGCCATTCCTCTTCTTTGTGTTGTCGTGGATAGTAGTCCTTTGCGGCAGGCTATATTCTAACCCGACTTTACATTTGGCTGTACGAGCACTATATTGCGTGGAGAGGGCAGAGACAAAAATTGAGACGGGTGCTACATACTACAAGCAACTATCAGCAGTGGAAAAAAGCAGCAAAATCCCTGGATGAATTTCTGGGAAATGACAAATGGAAAGAAGCCGACGAATATGCATATTACAATAGCACTACCGTTAGTACGGTAGTGAGTCAAATGAAACAGCTCAGAGACCAAGTTGAACGAGGTGGGACCGATGGTAAGGCCGCGGAAGAGCTTTGTTCCCTTTTAGAGGGGTGTATCAAGACCAACTTCGCCGGGATCGAAAATCCCAGACTCTACAGTCAAACTTATTATGGGACTAAAGATTTAGTTCAAGCGTTTTCAGATGAAGCGCACGCTTCGCTAAAGTTGGTTCTTGAGAGCCAGGAGCTGTCTGATGAGAGGAAACGGAGCCTTTTTCGGCATTTGGATTTGAATTTCGGTCGCGCGGTTCTGTGCTTGTCAGGGGGTGCTACTTTTGCATATTACCATTTTGGAGTCATTAAAGCTCTGCTTGATAATGGCGTGCTCCCCGATATTATTTCAGGGACATCAGGCGGTGCTCTGGTCGCAGGCCTAGTTGCGACGAGGACTGACGAAGAACTCAAGAAGCTTTTGGTACCCGAGCTGGCACATAAAATCACAGCGTGCCAGGATGGGATGTCGACTTGGCTAGCCCGGTGGTGGCGGACCGGTGCACGGTTTGATGTGATGGAGTGGGCCGAGCAGTGCAGTTGGTTTTGCCGGGGCTCTACCACCTTTCGTGAAGCATACGAAAGGACCGGCCGCATTCTTAATGTTTCATGCGTGCCCTCTGATCCGCATTCGCCCACTATTCTGGCGAATTACCTCACCTCACCAAATTGCGTTATCTGGAGTGCAGTCCTTGCGTCCGCGGCGGTCCCTGGGATTTTGAATCCAGTTGTCCTCATGATGAAAAAGCCTGATGGGACACTTAGCCCATACTCATTTGGGCATAAATGGAAGGATGGGAGCCTTCGGACAGATATTCCTTTGAAAGCTCTGGATGTTCATTTCAATGCCAGTTTCCCTATCGTCTCCCAGGCAAGTTATACATGTGAACAGAATATACCGTTTCGAAGCAATACTGATAGATATGTAGGTCAATCCTCACATTAGCCTTTTCTTCTTTAGCTCTCGGGGCTCAGTGGGTCGACCCGTCACCCACCGAAGAGGACGAGGTTGGCGGGGTGGTTTCCTGGGTTCCGCTTTGGAACAGTACATCAAGCTGGACCTCAATAAATGGCTTAAGGTCTTACGCCACCTTGAACTCCTTCCCCGTCCCTTGGGTCAAGACTGGAGCGAGATCTGGCTCCAGCGATTCAGCGGCACGGTCACCATTTGGCCAAAATCGGTCATCTGGGATTTATACTACATTCTGTCAGACCCAAGCCCACAACGTTTGGCGCGCATGCTGCACGAAGGCCAACAGAGCACCTTTCCCAAAATTAAATTCATCGCAAACCGAATGAAAATAGAGAAAGTTATAGCGGAGGGCCTGGCAAGAGATCCGGACTGGGCAGGTGGCGTGGGGCCTAAAGCCGTGCCCGCCCGGTCACGCCCCGATCAACTGTTCTCGGATGAGGAAGATGCCCAGCAACGGACAGTTGATCTCTTGACTGATTCTGCGAACCAGCCTAGCGATACAGATAGTCGGAAGCAGGACTCGAGCTTCAAGGGATTACGAAGACCTCCGGTTCCGAAACGACGGAGTAGCGTGATGGAAGAACTTCGACGGCAATCTGCGGTGTTTTTTGATGATACTGATGATACCTTCCCGAGCGAGGACGAGAGATGTCGATATCAAGGCCAGTCAAGCGGTACCAAAGTTGGATAATGCGCCTTTTTTCCCCTCAAGCTCGCATGGTAAATACTGGGATCTCGCTATATATATTCGATTTTTCTTTTACTCTTTTTTGAATGAATCTAGACGGTTTTCTTGTCTTGGATCTCCCTTTCGGTATTTTTGGTGTCCTTCTTGGGTTAGCTACTCGGTGGGTTTGCATACCCAAAAGGTGAGAGCATCAGCTTGGCGTCCACATCAAAATATCTTAGCTTGTTTATTTGGCGCTTATATTCTTGCCATTTCTGGCTTTTATCTGCCTTTAAAAACCTAATCACCTATAACTTTGAATGATTCTTTAGAAAACCACCCCCTCCCGAATCATGACAAGCCGACAGATTTGATCAACGCCAATGCTGTAGATAGCCTGCAAATGCACCAAAAGCCAAAGAGCCCAGTGTATCAGATAACCAACCATCTCTCCGTCACTCTTTTTGCGCTCACCATATCCCCACCAAATGCATAAAGGCACTGCAACGCATACGCCGCCTCGTGCGTATAGTCTTCCACATCCACACCATCCTCACTTCCAGTTATCTCTTTCTTCCTCTGTCGCTCAGCCTGGATCTCCGCATCCAACTCCAGGCACTTTTCATAGTCTTTGACCGCGAGATGGGCCAAGCCCAACATATGCCACACCCTTGCGGAATTGAACTCTACTTCCTGCCTCTCCTGCGGAACACTGCTAACCTCCCTAACCCGACGATATTCCTGCATGAACGAGAGCCCTTGCATAACCAAATAATGCCGGTTATCGGCCTGCCGCTTTAGCGAATGGTGGATGTAGCTGAGACCAACGGAGAGCAGGACAGCGGGATTCTTCGGGTCCAGTGCATAAGCGCGGAGGAAATAGTTTAACGCGTTCGTGAAACTATTTCCTGCGTATAGGATGTGGCCGTATAGCACAAGCAAAGCGACGTCCATATCTTCGGCAGGTATGGGGTTTCCTGCCTCATCTTTCGTTGTGAGGCTGGGGCGTTCGGCGAAAAAAGTTGGGCGTGGGTGGCTGGTATCCGCGGAAGGGCCTTCAACAAGTGAGTAGTCAATAGCTTTGACTTGACGGAGTATAAATTTCATGCTTGGGGACGAGTGGAAGAGGGATTTTCGAGGGTCTCCGCAGAGACGGCTGAGAGTCGCAAAAAGGCGGTACGCATCAGTGACAAACTGGTATTCTTTCATGAACCACCTGGCGATGTTTGCAAGGATTTCTTCATCCTGGAGTCTGATACCGCAAGCTGGAAAGAAAATTAGACTTAGGGGCGAAAATATTGAAAGTATGCATGAACTGCTTACCAAACCAGCAAACATAAATCTGGCGGCTGCTTGATTTTGAATGATACCAAACGTTCGCGTCAGCCGCAGCTGTCAAGGAATCATATGCTTCTTGCGCGTGACCTTGGCCGGCTAGAACAAGGGCGTACTCTAAAAAGAGATCAAGCCAGTCATTGAACGGAATTCCATGATAATCCGTGGGAATTAAATCCGGATCGAATTCCGCAGTGCCTAAAGCAACAGTGAGACTTTGTTGTCTGGTGGGGATGGCAAATGCTTACCCATCGCCGCCTGAATACGCGATGCCAACTCGTCTACCTCATCTAATACATCCACCCTTTGGGCAGACCCGGCTTTACGCAAGGCTTCCTTTGAATATCCGGCGAACATCGTTCGTTTCTGCAAGGGAAAGAAAACCCGATTTGACCGGAATGTTCTCAATAAAGCCTCCACGATATCTAACCAATCCTCCGTTGGTTCTTCATCTCCAGCCCTCATAGCAGGCCGCATTTCAAGTGACTTCGAATATAGGTAGCGTACATGCTCCGCAGTCTGAAGTGCTGACGCAATTCTGTCTTCTGGCCTGGATTCTTTCAGGGTTGGAAGCTGCGCTGCCCCAGTGAACGATATAGGGGCAGCCTCCATTTGATCGGAGAGCCTTGGTAGTTCTAGCTCCATGTCTCTCGGAGCACCGTCACTAGACTCTATGGAACGGAACTCTTTCACGAGTTGCTCGATTCGGGCGCCAAAATTTGCTCTCCGTTTGCGCATCGGTATTGACTCCTGACGCCCAAGTTCTACTGCTTCTGTCACATATTTCAGAGCCTGATCCATCATGCCTAGCCTCTCGTAAAACTTGGCCAAAGTTACCCTCGCTTCGATATTGGTTTTATCATATTCAACCACCGTGAGGAGACAACCTTCAGCATCAGAATCATTTTGACACGCTAAATAACAGTCGGCCATCGCCATGAAAAGGTTTGTATCGGCATATTCTTGTGTGTATTGAAGGGGTGCATAGAATAATAGGGCTTCCAGATAAAGCCTAGCCTCCTTCAAGGCATCAGCAGCTTCTCGAAAAAGGTCGCCATAGTCGTATAGCCTTGCGCCAGGTGCTGTCTCTTCTGGAGATAGCCACATAAAATGAGACTGAAACTTGTTAGTTTTGTGCACTTTGCAACACCGGAGAGCCAGCATACCATTGCTTCGTCCTTGAATTCGACACCCATTTTCAATCGGTATATACCTAACTTAACACGAAGATCGATGGGGAGTCCGATACCGTACGACTCGACAGGGTATTTGGACTGAGAGAACCATGGCGCAGCAATGCGGCGAGGAAAATCCTCAGCATCCCATTCCCGGTCGTCATCCCATACTTCATCCCATTCGATATCATTTTTTCGGCCAAGCAACCAGCGAGATAGAGCCCTAAGGGCGCGCACCCCTTCCCAGTGTTTATTCTGGTATCCAAGTAGTTCGACGTAAATGTTGACGTCTGACCAATCAAAGTCTACGGCTTCCTCTAAAGTATCCAGGGAGGAATAGTACGCGATGGCTTCATCATAACGGGCCTTGGCTTTCTCGACGTCGTTGAGATCTATATACAGTTCAGCAAGCTGGCGCAAGGCTATTGTATTATGAGGAAGCTCCCTCAGAAGCCTTTCGTATTCCAGTACTGCCTTGCCACTGTGACCAAGCTCGCGATATATCGCAGCCCTGTCGAAACGGATGTCATATCTTTTTGGGTCGATATCAATGACGCGGCTATAGCAGTATACCACGTCTTGGAGTGCTGCCGACTTGTCATCTCCGGCATGGTCCGATATCATTTTTGCAACTTTCAACCATACCGTTTGGTCTTTGGGTCTGGTATGGGCGCCACTAAACAGTGCTGCCATTGCTTTATCCTTTTGACCCTGGGCTAAAAAGATTTCAGAAAGTAAAGAATGCGCTGCGAACATTTCAGGGTTGATCTGAATAGCCTGCTTGACGAGGATAATGGCGCGGTCATAGTCGGAGTCGATAAAGGCTGAAGTCGCAGCGGAGTGCAGTTCCTTGAATTCTGCACTTGGCTCCAATGGTTTCCTTGGACCGCGCTTGACGCCTCTAGCACCTCGAATGCCAAAACCGTCCGAATCATACCGGCGACGATGCCGTCTGTCCATCCTATTGATGGATGAGAGAACAGCTTCATCGTCAATGAACTCGGTTGCTTCGTATGGCTCAGAGTCGCTGTAATGGTCGATCAGCCTATGTCACTGATAAAAATCTGGTTTCGAATCCTTACGATGATTCTTCTGGTGAGGGCTGGAAATTAGTATCATCGGAGTCTACATCATTGGAGTTAAACCGTCGCGTGGGCTTGAGGCGCCCAAACTCGTCGTAATCATCGTTGCCGCTTGACTCCTCGCTGTCTGATTGATCAGAGGCGAAATCAGCGTCCATATCTCATCCACTGGCGAGCAAGCTACTTCTCAAGGTCTTTCCAAGCTAAAGGCGAAATATCAACAAAGGCAGCCTGGTCAGGTTAATGTCAATGTTCCTAGAAGAGTGATAGCTCTCCGGATTGGTAGCATCCCAGCCGCCAACCAAGCTGTTCATCTCAGCGGATGGAGTGCTGTAGGTTGAGCCAGAGTTCCATTTCCTCATCCGGATTCCAACTGGCGACTGCTGGACTGTGCTTAGTCAGCTTCCTTGGCATTTCCACGGTTTTCTTGCAAAACGGCAAAAAGGAGAACAATGAGGGAGCACGCGTGGTTGGAGGCAGTGCTGAAGGCTCTTTGCCAGAGCGCAGATGGTATCAATGGATCTGGAGGAACAGCCTGCGTAACTAGCTAGTTTATCACATGCAGATGAGATTTGCTCTTTGATTCGTCAAATGTGAGAGACTGCATATTCCCCTTGGCGCTTGCAGAGTTATCAAAGACTGCTCCCAAGGAACCTCTCCGTGGCAGCTGCAGCAATGCGCCGCAGTCTGGAACAAGCTTTCATTCTCCGTAGTCTGGATACCAAATGCAACATGCAGGCAACCCCTGTACTTCATACCTCAAGAGGACAAAGGCATCAATTTCATTTACACATGAGGCTTTCGACAAGTCTCGAGGGACGGTCTCTTTCCCTTGCAGGACAAGTCTGCAGGATCCCCCAAGAGCTCTTCCGCGCCTCGAGCATGCTGATTCTCCCGATTGCAGCTTCATCTCCACTTGTTCGTTCGACTATTGAAATCTATTAATAGCCGCCGTGCACATGGGCTCCGATCACGGGAGTAGCGCTGAGTCAGCATTGGGCTGGAACTCCTCCACCTCAACGCTCCAACGCGGAAAATATCAAGTCCTGCTTCGTGACCAACACAACTCGCCTTCCGACTCTTTCGTCCTCTTCTCTCTCCCTTCTCCCCCTCCCATCCGTTTCTGTCTCCCAGCCGTCCATTCCCTTTCTCACCTTTCCCCTTCGCCCCTCATCAGGATCCATATCCCTGCCCTGGTCGTGCTCTCGCCTTGCTGTGTTTGACACACGGCAGCGCTCTCCAATCGTTGCCTTGGAATCGAGGACAGAATCTAATCATTTTTCAGCCCTATTGCAGGCGACTCTCTACTTGTATTCTGTGATTAATCCGTCTTCAGATCCTATTGATTACTTACAGCCACTGGACTGGCCGCTCTCTAATCACTTTTTGTCCAACAACAGCCTGTTTGTTCAAGTCCTGATAGGCATTGGACGCCGTATCCCGGTCTCCTGTTTTGTGGTAGCAGCGGAGACTCACCACTCCGCCCCGAACGGCTCTTAATTACACAAACTCAGCGGTGCTGCAGGAGCTTTGCATTCTAATCACGCCGTTGCACCCACCAATCATTTATTCTTGATACCTCGTTTTCGACGGACGTTATTGTTAAAATGGCGAGCCACATTATCGGTAACAGAAACAGTACTCCTGAGGCTTCAAAATCGACCCTTCGCCCTCCGACCTCCCGAACCCTCGGCGGCTCTCACCAACTCCGAGCCTCTGCCGATATGTCGGGGTTTTCGTCCCCTCTCGCCGCACGGAATATCCGTCCTTCGTCCGAAGTCTATTTTAACCAACAATCCCACGGGCAAAACAATGCCGAGGATGCTTTAGACAGGGCTGCACAGCAATGGATTGCGGATATCGATCAGTACGAAACAACGCTCGAGGAGATGGCTGCAGCTACTCTGGATCAGGATTTCAAAGACGAGTTGAGCGCGATCGAGCAGTGGTTCCGTGTTCTAAGCGAAGCTGAAAGAACTGCCGCCCTTTACGCTCTTTTGCAACAAACAACTCAAGTACAAATACGATTTTTCATCCAGGTTCTACAGCAGATGTCGCAGAGCCATCCCATGTCAAGTGTGCTATCGCCGGCTAATTTCGGCGAAAAGGGTACGTACCGCCCAAGTGAATCGAGCGCTGGTGGTATTTTGCATCTTAACACTTACTTTAGATCCCATGTCCAACCGCTTGAGCGATGCAATGGCGAAGTTGAACGTCGAACAGTCTCGGAACTCTCTAGGACGCCCACCGCCATCCCCTGGAAACAAGCGTAACTCAGGCCTTGATTCATCTACCATCAATGCTATGTTCCCGGACGCTGCCGCTGCTATTGCTAAAAAGAAAGCTGAATTCACGCAGCAGACTGGCAATCTTCCTGGGTCGAACCGCAATAGTGCAGTCTTTGGGGAGCGGACGTCTCTGGTGACACCGACTATTTCTGCTCCCGATTGCAAGGATTCCTTAACGCAACAACCAGCCTCGCCATGGGCTCAACGTGCACCTGAACCACAAGCACCGATCGCACGTCCCAAGTCATCGAGCGGGCAGCAGCAACCAATGGGCCAGTTTTCCCAACCTCTTCCTTCGTTGCGCTCGCCACTCCCTATGAACACTGGAGCTTCATCCAATATCCAAAATACCACCATTACGGCGCCCGAAATCACTCAAGAGCCGCCTCTTCTCTCCCCATACAATCTGGGCAATGCTAGCTGGGCGTCGATGAGCAACACCCCCCTTGTTCCGTCTTTCAACCAACAAAACTCCCAATCACAGGCGGACATGGTTGCCAACGCCACGGCTATGAAACTTGCTGCTTTGTCCACCGTGAACAACAGGATTGCACTGGACGATGCTCGTAAATACCGTCGCGCTAGGTCCAATGAAGGTCAAAAGAATCTGGGGCAAGGACCGCTTTCACCTGGACTGCCAAATCCCAATATTCCTGGAACCAACGTAATCATGGTCAATGATGCAGGCCAAATTCTCAACGCACAACAAATCGCGGCGTTACAGGCTCAGCAGGCGGCAGCAATGACCGGCCGCCATTCCAGACCGAATTCTCCTGGTCTAGCAATGCAAGGAGGCTCAATGGGACATATGAATTTCACTTCGCCACAAAATAATGGGTTCTTGGCCGCATACGATGCAAACTCCCTCTTAGGCAATGGTTTCGGTGGACTTGGTATGGGCCTGACTGGCTCTGGTAGTCACGAAGGATACCTTTCTGACCATTCAGAAATCAACCGAGGCCGTTCCCCGCGAGGCCGACGGGGCAGTTCTAAACCACCGGAAGACCCCACTGACACTAAATTACTTCAAGATATTCCGTCTTGGCTTCGGTCTTTGCGTCTACATAAATACACTGATAACCTCAAGGACCTAAAGTGGTCTGAATTGATTGAGCTTGATGACAAGAGCCTGGAGGCCCGTGGAGTGAATGCACTAGGCGCAAGAAATAAGATGTTGAAGGTGAGTAGTACGACTTCTATTAGTGATGTAAGCTAATGATTTTGTAGGTCTTCGAGCAAGTGAAGGAAGCAAGATCCGCGGGAAAGCTAGACGGGCTACTTTAAACAGTCCAGGTTGATCGAAACCATTGCATTCCTCGCCCCGGACGAAATTTGTTTCAGTTTCGAGCAATAGTGACAGAATCACCTTTCAGAAGGCCATCTATGAGTCCAAACCTAAAATGAAAGGGTTAATTGGACTTGAATTGGCTGGTGCTCGCCGCCTCTTGGGACGTGGTTTGAACTTTTTTTTCTGGCATATTATTTAACCACTCGGGGACAAAAAGACCTCGCCAGAGTTGGAAAAACGAAATTTATCTGCAAATTCACGGATTTCACAGGGCCAAATTGTGCCTAAAATGAAGGATGGCTGTTGCAGTTGAGCCGCGGTGCTTGCTGATTGTAATTCCGATTTTATTTTTCGATTCTGTTCTTTCGAATGTTGCATTTAGTGTGTATTCAATAATGATGAATCAAAAATCTTCCTGCATTAGCGATAACCATCCGTCGTACCCGTTCCCATGCTTCTCAGTCCGTTCATTGAGCCGGAAGCATCGAGGCGCATCAAATGTGCCAAGATTGTGATGCCAAGTCTAGTCAAGCTCAAAGAGTTGAGGTCAGGTTGACCTCCACTCAATATCTCGACACCCTGTAGAACGACGCAGCTCCCAAAGAACCAAGGGGTTCTACATAACAGACACCTGTTCTGGATTTTCAGTATCGTCCTTACTCTTATTTAACCGCATTTACGACAATTGGACCGGCGTTTAGCCCACTACCCCGAACCGTACAACGAATATTTATACCCAGGTCACCATGCCACCAACAAACCAGGAGCTCTCCCTCTTGATAAATCCTCTCGTTCCAGATTCTGTCACACATAACACTCGCGTATGTACTTACTTGCTGTGCTTTCCCAAAGCGCCATGACCGGCTAACACTGAGCAACAGACCCTCTCAAATATTCACTCCCTCTCTTCCTTCTTACTTGGTTTGGCCGCCGGTATTCTCGGCCTCCGCTCGTCCGGTGGATTCATATTCTATCTTCTCGGCACCCTCTTCGTCTCGTTGCTCTTCCATGCGCTACTGATTGGATTCGATAATGGTGATAAGACCGGAGGGTTGGGCGTTGGCGCGTATTTCCCCGGGAACGGAGAGATAGTTGGTGGAGGGAAGGGGAAAGGATTAAGGAGAAGAGGAGCGTGGAGGGACGTCTGGCTTGGTGGTGGTGTGTTTGGGGAGGCACTGAGTGGATTTGTGCTGGGGTGGGCGGGTGTGGGTGGTATTTTGAGATAAGGACTCTTCGGTTAACGAGTTACTATTGTAAGTGAATTTCTTTTCAATTAAATGATTACCTTTCGCTAATGAAACAGCTTCACTGTTTTACTATGACAGTTTTCTGCAGATTAATCTTTGGAGCTTTGAATTCACTTCCAACTTCACTTCGAATTCAGCACTATTATTCAATAGCTGCTTTTCCTACTTACCAGCAACTTTTACGGTGAGTTCATGAATTTTCAAATTGCAACTATAAATTTCAACATCTCAACAGCTCGCTGCCTCGGGGTTTCTTTATCACGCACCTTTAAAACTTCAAATCCAATCTTGCTTTCATTGCATGCGAAGCGCAGCAAACATATGCCAATCCTACTCTTTAGTATGCGTTTATAAATTTGCAAGCTATGGAGAAAAGCGGCCTGGATCCCGCTATCTTCGAATGCCAGTCCATCCCGGAACGAGTACACATCTCACTGGCCGTCGATTCTTATTTTTTTCCTTCGGGCCATTCTCAATTTCCCTACTCTTCACTTCTACTATGGATCGACGCCACCACTTTGGGAGGCTTGATACTTACCACCTAGCTGCTAATATGAACTTTTAAAAGGTGATTTCGGCGAAATCACGCAGCACGATTCCAAACTAAGTGACAATATACATATAATTCTTACAAACTCATTTAACATCTCTCGAGTCAGCTTTGAAAGCCTTCGCTTTCCTGTCAGATTTCCCTCATACTCATCTCCATTCTCGACTCACCAACGTTTAATCGAGTTTTTGATGTAAGTTGATCCAATCCCCAAATTGATATTGCTTGCTCATGAAAATATAGATCATTGCTAAAGGAACAAGAAATTCCATTAAACCTTAAGTGTATGATTTGATTAGGTATTATTCCATGTCAAATGAGAGAGCGCTGGTTTTTTATAGACTCATAAACAAAAAATATCTGGTGGTTCTTTTGTGACTACTAAGTGGATTCGCTTTTAGAATCAGAATGCCTCGTTTTTATTATCGCTCCACCGACATAGGGTCTGATTCAAAACTCCGCCTTCGAAAAAAACATTCTTCTGGGCCACCTATCATATCTGCTATTATTCTAAATATTCCAACTGCTGACAACCTGACATCACTGTCATGTAAGTTTAATTCTTTTCTGATTGAAAGCTCAGAACTAACAAAGTATCAGTTCAGAATCAAAAAGAAATCATTTCTTCTTGTTCTATCCTAATTCTACAAAATTAGAGTGAGATTACTCTGCTAATATCTATTAGAGTATATTGACCAGTGGCGTGGTGATGGAGAAGTCGATCGCAACCGCACTCTACAAGAACGCGCTCAGTATCGCCGGTGTCCCTTGTGCTATACTGCAATCAAGTTTGTTGTCAACGCTGCCAGTGCCTTCTGACTAACTACAAAGCCTGACCATATCTGTATAATCAAATTCTGTCCGTGAGAGGACTATGCCCGATAGGGACTACGATAGAAAAGAAACACACGATACTATACGGTAGACGGTACTGGAAGGCGAAATCGTCTCGTCCCACCGAGATTTCCGAACACATCTCCCTTAAGCCCTACCCGGGCCTCCAAGCGTTCGTTTCTTCCCTTGAAGACGTCAAGGACGACATCGAGTGTCTTCGTGCCGCCGAGGCCGCCGTTGCATCTGTCTATACTAGGATTTCCCAACTTTCCTTAGGTTGCGGTTTTGTGCACCTTCCAACAAACCATTAAGGCCGATTTACTTTCGAGTAGTTTGGGCCCATCATATGGGGAATGATTATTTAATCTTCATCCTTTATTAAAAGAATCTTGCCCCAGGGAACGTCAACCTGTCTGCCGTATTCTCACCGGAATATACTGTCGGCAGCAGGGGAACCGAAAAACATACAGTGTTTCCCAGGAATGACTTCTCAAGCGCATTTTTAAGTCCAGTGACCTGGGTGAGCCAAAAAGATGTCGAGGGTTTTAAGGTGCTTACTGAGTACAAAGTGGACTTAGCAGTTTTGTGCGAATCTCACATAACTAACAGTCTCCACGGGCGCTATAAGCAGCGATGGCAAGGCCTGGAGTGGTATACAAACGCTCCAAGCACAAATAGTGTGGGGATTACTATGGTGGTGATGAGCAAAGACCGCATTATAGACTGTGAAATAAAATGGTCAGATAATTAAGGTCGAGCTCTATTGCCGAGTTTTGTGCCCGGGAAAGCAAGTCCTAAGACAGCACGGAGACCCTGAGCTACAGAGAGGGGACAGATCAAATCCGGAGAACAAGTCTGGCAAACAAGCCTGTGAAGCGGCGGAATCCCCTGCTGGTCATGAAACTTTCAAATCACAACGCCAACAGACGGACACAAACAGTTTGGTTTGCCTTGAGGATAGTCACAACCTGTATGGCTCCCAGCTAGTCTATGGTCTCCAATGGGTTGGAGAATTGACTGGATATGCCCAAGGGGCCAAGTCCTTTCAAAAAACTTTACACCAGAGAAAGCTATCACAAAGATGAGAAAAATGGTGAGTGCTAGAACTAAAATTATGTCATAATGCATTTTATTAAGATTATTGATTTAGCTCTTTCATAGAAGAGATATTGACCACCACAACACATTGCAACCCAAGCAAAAAGAAGATTGTGAAGACTCTTCTGATACTTCTATCAAGACTCTCCAGCAAGGCCCAAAAAGCAAATGTTCTGGGCCCATGAGTGAGTGATTGACATCACTTCTGTCCTGTGAATTCCATTCCAAAAGGCACACCCCCTGTTGTCCAAATAAGCACACCAATCCCCACCTCAAAGCATACATCTCATCTGATGGTGATAATGATAGGGATTCTAGTGGTTCCGAGTGAATTTCACCTTGGGTACTTTGATCTAACACCAGGTTTGCTTGATATGAAGCCTGTCGCGCAAGGTTCGCAAATGAACGCTGTTATTGTTTATAGTTGTGGTTCAGTCAAACGCTAGCCTTGTTCGTCGTGTGCCAAAGGGCATGGGCCATTCCTCCAATGCGTTACCGCCGTGAGTCCGTCGGGTCTCGAAATCGGTAAGGGGGCCTGTGCTTCCTGTATTTGGCCCAATTCTCTGTATCTTTTGTTCGCTTCGTTCCGAGGCAGGCCGTCGATCCACGAGATGAATTGGAGAAGATACCCAAATTTACTCATAGAAGAATCAGAGCGGAGCCCGCGATGTGGCTTCCCTTTTCCAAGCAATGAGGGACACCTACTGTTGCTGCAGCTGGATCTTTGCTGGCCCAAGGAGGGTCACCAATACCCCATACAGGCAGCCCCTCATGTGTCCCATCTGAAGGACCAATGTGTGGTTTCCTTGGATTCCACCTTGGTACGTTTCTTTGCGGGAAATCTGGTCACAGAGCCCAAAAGTTTGGTGTTTCAGCCATCACTGCTTCCCCTAACTGACATGCATGGAACACTCTATGTCGGCCAACTGACAACTGTAACGCAGTTGCAGTTTTTGCGAGCTGAAAAACAGCCAGTGAGAATACATTTATTCGCAGATGGAGCAATGAGCGTCTCAAACTTCGATATAGTAGCAATGTCAATGCGGGGTATTAGTCCCAGGGCTGAAGCCGTTCTCTTGCCACAACAGCACACTGACCCCGAAGTCCAAGCCGATATTGATCTCCTGCTTGGAGAGGATCGAGGTGCCGCGTGGCAATTCATTGTCCAATGGCGCGCTGCGGCCATTGAGCAATTAAAGCTTCAGTATAAGCTGTGGAGGCAAATGGAGGAGGGAAGATACGGCACCAAGGTCTTTCATCTGAAGAGCACAGACACCCATGAAACAGAGGATATTGAAATTGGGGAATGGGATGGCTTTGATGACTGATTTGGGGTGGAAGGTATTGGCGTTTCGCGCGGGGAATAAGGCATGCAGTTAGTTGGTACTTGGGTTACTGGTTGGGAAGTTGAGAACAGTGCATACTAAATCTGCATTCAAAATGAGAATATGACAAATTGACTAGATAAATACACATCCTACTTGAATGTAATGTGAACCCCCTCATCAGCCGCATCAACTAGCTAAGCATCAGCCACACGGCACAGCCATTCCGAAAGCGGTTAGGCTTGCGGCTTTGACCACCGGTGCGGCGCTAAACCCAAACTGCACGGTCGTCTGGCGAACTAAGCCGGAAGCGGTAATTCTGCGTACTCGCGAACGTCGTGAGTGGACGAGATGCGCAAACACAGGGGAGACGGCAGGCAGATGATGAGCGGCAAGGCAGATTCGACGGGCTGCTGATGGGTTTTGGACGGGTGGGTTTCTGACGGGGCGATGCGCTGTTGCCCTTGACTCCTTGACATACTCACTCGCTCTGGATGGCTCCGTAAGCCATTGTCTAGGACTCTAGGCGATCGTGTTGTGAGCGACTTACCAAAATCCTTCCCCATCGACGCAGATCGGATCCAACTCAGATAGTTCAACAAATAGTACTCCATACAATGCTTTGCTTTGTGGAGATTCACAACCTCCACAATGCCCTCGAGTGCTCTCGCAGGGCTGATCCAAATCGCCCTTAAGCGGCTAGCTAATCGCGCTGCCTCGTATCCTCATTGGCCATCTTGCATACGTGGATATGGGGACTTTGATGTCGAAAGGGCCTGGGCGGTTTCATAGCCACTGCTCCTTTTTTATCGTGGTTCCAAGGCGATACCACCATGCTCGTATTCGCAAGGTTTACCAAAAGAGTCAACCGGAACAACTAACTAGTGTGTAATGGCATCGATGATTGCTATTAAATAACTAGTTAGCCCTTGTCGCGAGATGGGAGTCGACAAATTCGGACTTTTTGATGGTCAAGAAAGTGTTATTATCTTCTCTTTTCTAATCCATTGGGTCGACAAATATCTATATTTGAGCAGCTTTTCTTGTGTGTGCAGATTGATAACCCGCCGTTCCGGATGTTTACCTATTTATACAAGAAGATAAAACAACCAAAGGCTTCAGAGCCGGCCAGAAAACAGCCATGCCGCCATCAATTGTCTCTCCAGGCCTCGAGGCTATCAAATGAGGAGAAAAGGTATGATGACGCCTTGGTCGAGGGATCGCTTCCACAACCAGTCAAGCCCACGACAGAACAAACAGTTGAGAACCAGGGTCCATGCTCTGAATGCAAAAAGGAGAAACACGATAAGCGGGTCTACAGATGGAAACTGATATTCGGCCTCCTTCTACCGTATTTCCTTGCGTCGGTTGATTTGACCATTGTCGCTGCGGCGTTGCCGTTTATTGCATCGCATTTTAGTACGTGCACACCACCTGCCAGCTATGATTGACACTTGGGCAAACTTTGCGTTCTAATGCTCATTTTGCCCACGTTCTTAGATAAATTGGATGAATTGAACTGGATTGTCACGTCGTTCACCTTGACTTCGACCGCGTTTATCCCCGCCTTTGGCCAACTCGCCGATGTTTTTGGGCGGCATTTTGTTCTCCAGCTGGCCATGTTTCTCATGCTGATTGGGAGTGTATTATGTGCTGCGGCCCAGACGTGGCCAATGCTCCTCTTGGGACGGGCTTTGCAAGGGACAAGTTCCGCTGGAATCATGAATTTGATCCAGATCATTTTGGCGGATAAGGTTAGCTTAGAGGACAATGCAAAGAACAGTACGATTTTTCAGTTTGTGGCCGGGATTTCGTACAGTGTTGGCCCAATTATCGGAGGGTGAGTGCCATTTCCTCCGGCTCAAGAGAGGAGTTTACTGACCTATGATTAGATATTTGACACAGGTTCGGTGCTTTTACCACGTCTATTAAACTCCATGCTGACTAGCTCTTCACAGGCGAATTGGAGATATGTTTTTGTGTTAAGTATACCAGTGAGACATTACTATGCTTGGGTATGCCTACGCTTAAAGCTAACCGCTTCAAGGTTGCCTTCCTCGCTCATATTTCAATTTTCGTGCTCCTACGAAAGGAACTGGTTGGCGGCACATATTTCAAGAAAGGCTCAAGTCGATCGTTATTCCTCGAAGGTCTAAGCACTGTCGACCTCGGCGGTACATTCCTATTCGTATGCGGCGTAGGCCTCATAATCATCGGCACATCCTGGGGAGGAGCAACTTACCCCTGGACCTCTCCAGCTGTTCTAGCTCCACTTATCATTGGCTCAATTCTTTTTATCTTGTTCTTCGCCTATGAATATCTCCTTGGCCCCGGAAGGCTTTTGGCTCGGAGCTTTCCAATGCAGACAGCGATGGTGCCTTCTGAGCTGTTCCATAAGCGAGATATGATTGTCCTGGCGATTGTTGAATTTGCCACCGGTGCAGGTTGGTGAAAAGCCGTATGTCTCATTTATTCTTGCCAACTAACATCTGTAGCTATGTATTCCGCCTTCTACTTTGTTGGCATCTATTTCACACTTGTCGAAGCCTATTCCGCCGGAAAATCCGGACTCCAGCTCCTTTATTACATCCCTGGGATAGGAGGTAAACAGATTCGCCCTTTCAACTACTATTTCCCTTGAAGCTTACTTCGTTTGTTCTTCTAGTCGGCGTTTACGTTGCCATGTTCAACTGCAATGTTTGGCCAGCACAGACCTTCTATCCTCTCAGTTTAGGAACACTGATTGAAACCATTGGCATCTCTCTTATTACTTGGGCTGTTACAACCCGCAATGTTGCCCTTGTGAATGGAATGATGGCTGTGGCGGGCGCCGGAACAGGAATGCGCTTCATGCCCGGTTCCCTACACGCTGCCGGGGTCTGGCCTGACATGATCGCACCCGCAATGTCCGTTATGCGATTCTCCATACCCTTTGGCGGAACTCTGGCCCTGGCAATCATGGGCAGTGTTTTCAATAATAAAATGGCACCTGTCTTTCGCGCCACGAACGCAGGCCCAAATCAACACATTGGCTCAAATTCGGGGCAAAGCCTAGACTCGATTAATGAGCTGCCGGGGGCAGTACAAGAACTGGTGCGCAACACAGCCAAAGACGCGGTGATGTGGGCATTTATTTCTATTGCACCGATAATGGCGATCGGCCTTGTGGCGGTTATCTTTCTTGGGAACGTATGGATAAAGTCCGACAAAGCAAAAGAGGCTGTGGAGAGGGCTAAACGGGAGAACACTCATGACGATGGAATTGTTAGCAGTGAGGTTATTGATAAACCCTTTATGTGGGCTGTAATTACTGTGGGTTCTCCATTCCCGGTATTGATGAGGCTAAAAAAAACGCTGACCTGCGGTTTGAACAATAGAGAACTGTTGAGGAGAATAAGTACATTAGCACTCCTTTATCGAAAGCCGAGAAGGCGAGACAGGCTCAAGCAATACTCGAGGAGAAGGCTCGTCTACGTGCACGGAGAAGCAAAAATCAACACCTTGGCCTTGATGCGGAACGTGCAGCTGTTTGAGTTTACAGGAATTGTAAACCTGGGAGTATCCTTTTGGCTGGTTTCTAAGCGTTATGCTACTTATTTATCTATATGCAGATAGAGTTCTCTTTTCATTAGCAATAATGTGGCTGTTGTAATCATTTGGCCTCGTTCTTATGGCGATCGTTTTCCTCATGGCCCCTGACAGTTTTCAGAACCTGGTCGATTACGAATATTTTGATTTAGATATTAAATATCGCAACGACTACTCCGTAGATTTCGTCACACCCAGTTCTTGGCGTAGTTATATCAACCAGTTCATTCGAGTGCTTCTCAACTATCGCGCGCAAATCTTCGGTCAGTGGGATTGCTAGCTTCAGGTCATCCATCATTGTGAGACTGCAGGAAATGACTTACAGAGGACTGATTGCTCATTTTCATCATTTATAAAAGAAAACAGTTCAGTGATGTCACCATTAGTGTTCCACAGTCAATGATGACAGAATGATGACACTCTTCCCCACATGTGTCATAACTACCTAGTTATATCAAAAATGAAAAGCTCAACCATTACATCTCTTCAACATAGTCCTTTTTCTGGTTCTTCATTAATATGTATTAACAGTCAAACCCTCTGACCATCATGAACACTTCAAAACCTACAAGCAGATCTAAAGATCAGATCACGCTCAAGTCTGCAGATACCCAAACAGAGTCCAGCAGCAGAAAACAAGATGACAATCCTGCTCAAACCAAGCATCTTGTTGAATTCGAGAAGCTTTTTACATTCTCTCATGATGAGTTGATGGAGTATTCAAAACAACAGAAGATTGAGCTCTGTATGTTCTGTTGTTTAATCTTCTTGCCTAGTTACTTGATATCACACTAACAGGAACAGCACCAGACGTTGAATCAATTCCGTACGATGATGGCGAGGATATAGCATACCATGAACATCTGGCTTTTTGTAACCGTGAGAAATAATTACATCTATGGAGGTCGCCGCCATATGTTTTGGTCCTTCAGTATAGGGGCCTCTCCCAAGCCTTCAGTGCCGCTTAGCAGTCCTTAACTTGTAGGGCTGCAGAGACCAACCCCCCTTGCCCCCGCAAGATCACTCCTAAACTCAAGCCTGCGAACGCCTGAAAGTGTGTCAAGGATTCAAGGGGACCAAGATGTATCCAGGATCGATGGCCAAGATCAAACTCAACATGGTATGAAAGACATAAGGGAATTGCATTGGCCACCGACTTGTACGCAAAAGTTGAATAGCCCAGCTTTTTTTTCCCAGACCTTTACAAAGAAGCTGGTTAAGCATGCTTTTTAAAACAAGACAGGGTAGAGAAAGCTCCCTTAAGGGTCCTCTTGGGCAACTACATGACAGATCTGGGGTCTTTGAGTATTGCATGCCCAACAGTTTGGGCCAGATAGACGTTTTGTTTCAAGTTTGATTGTTTCTGAAAAGGAACTGGATAGTGATGACCGAGTCGACATTGTTCTAGCTGGATGAGACCTGTGTTGTCATTGTGCTGTGCTGTGCTACAGTGATAATTTGCGATGCATTGGAAATGAGAAGGTCAAGGTGTCTTGGTCACAACAGCTAAAAGATGCAATATACAATATGTAATAGTCTGGAGTTAAGCCTCGCCTGAAACGACTAACAAGAATCCGTGATCGTCTATGAAACATCCGCAAATATTGATCTATGTACTCGCATCATGTGTCGACATGGGGGGGGTATTGGTGCAGGGGCATGGATAGTATATGAAGTTACAATCAAAAAGCCCGTGGAAACAAACAAAAAACAGATGGTTGTCTCAAGACCAACCAAGGGGCGCGCATAAAAGTAGCCGAAAGGAAATAAACCGCTTTCCACCTCGGCACATCAGGGCCGATGACCGTTGCGGGCAACACAAATATATGGACAAGAGAAGCCAAAGACATCCATCCAGCGCCAAGTCTTATGTAGCGTTCTTTTTCTAAGAAACCAGTATGACCCAAGAAAACAAGAGAGGAAAAAGCACAGGGCATCAGGTCGTATCAGTTACCAGCATTGGCGATCGCACTCTGCAACGCACTGGTCAAGTCCACGTGGAATAACGGTCGATTCAATCCTTGCACAACCGTCATCCTGGACTTCACATACTCAGTAGTTGTAACCATTTCCTTCTCCACGACAGACACAGAGCTGCTCGTGTCGCCGCCATTAACACCATCGGCCCGGCGGATTGTGGAGCTAGCACTGTCGACAGCAGGCGCTTCGATGTCGGTCCTGCTGGCTGTTCCGCGCTCTTGATCCAAGAAATCCGCGTATGCGCTGCCGGGGGTGGTGTTTTCGAGGTTGGCAACGCTGAAGATTGGCTTCAATCGAGAAGCACCCGCGTCGGCGGGCGGACTGGGGTAACCAAATCCGGCAGAGGCGAGTGCTCGTTTCGCCCATCGGTTGTTCACATGTGCGAAATGCCAGTGGACGGTTTGGGGTGCGGCGTAGACATCAAGCTGGTTCCGGACGTCGATGAGATTTTGCGTTGAAGTGACATCGACGTGGTTGACGGCGGAGAAATCAAGGATTACAGCCTTGAGGGTTGGGAGGTGGGAGCGGTCCTCTTCCGACTGGCCTCTGCGCGGCCCCGGCATATTCCACGGCCTGTCTCCAGGTTTGTCGTAGCTATTCGGGTTTGTCCTCCTCGTCTGCTTGTAAATCGTCGCCACAAGGTGATCCAGGTAGTGATTTGCGCTGGGATAGTTGAACCCTTCGGTGAACCGATAAATGAAGATACCAGGATATGGCTGTGCAACATCGACATCGGGGTTGGAACCGTCAGCATGATCAAGCGGAAGGAAGATGTTTCTGAAGGCAGAGCTTTTTGGGCCTGCGTCTGCTCCCCATGCCTGCTTCTCATTTCCAAATTTGTCCCCGATGACGGTGTGGACCTTCACACGGCCAAGGAACTGTCCCTGGGCCTTGACAAGGCGGAAGAGAAGGATAGCCAAAGACATGCACACGGTGGTGTAAATTCCATTCTCAATGTTTGTGAACACCATGACAAAGACACCGGCGAAGAAGATGATAACTTCCAGTGGCGAAACCCTCCAGAATTGATAAACCGTGTTTGGATGAGTGATCAAATCACCAACGGCGTGAATGATCACAGCGGAGAGCGACGAGCTAGGAATGTAGAAGAACAGCGGTGGGAGGGCGTAAATCGCAAGTAAGACAACAGCAGCAGTGATAACACCGGCAAAAGGCGTCCGCACACCAGCTTTGGATTGAATTGCAGTTCTGGAGAAGGAACCAGTCGCAGGATAGCCCCCAAGGAATGGTCCGAGAAGGTTGGTCACACCAATACCGATGAGTTCCTGAGAGGGATCAATGGTATAGTTGTTGATTCGGCCAAAAGACTTCGAGATGGCGATATGTTCAAGGAGGAGAACAATAACACCAGCAGGAATGTCTCCGACAAAGGTCTGGAGAATCGTCATGTTAACCTTGGGAATAGCAGCACTTTGGAATCCTACAAATGCAAATTAGCACTCAGCCATTCCCCAGCCAAAGACAAAGTATACATACCTCTAGGGACAGTTCCCAAGATTGCAAAGCGGGGGTTGTCACGGCGGCTAAGGTTGACACCCGCACTGATCCCAGTGTAGAGCAGAATCACAATAACGGTGCGAAGCGTGGCAAGGAAGAACCACACTTTGGCGCGAGCAGGATATTTCCGAGCGCAATAGTTGCAGCCCCAGCGGGCCAAATAGAGAACGAATAAAGCCGAAAGCCCCATGGCAGCATCAATCCGAGTATGGCCCAAGTACTTCAACGTATTGATGATAAGCTTGTAAGTCGAGTCTCGATTGTTGAACTCAGTGATACCCATCATGGCCGGAACCTGTCCCCAGGCAATACTAAGAGCCGAGCCAGTCATGAAGGCGGAGATTGCGGTCAAGGGAATGAAATCAACAATCCAGCCGCATTTAATGAGACCGATGAATGTGACGACAGCTCCGCAAATCACACCAAATGCAGAAGCAACGGCGTGGGCTTCCAGCTCCGGGTTCTGCTCGCGGACTCTGACGACGATATGGCCAACGAGCGTTGACACGACGGCCACAGGCTATGATAGTGTTAGAAACCCGTGAAGTAGTTGCGAAGAAAGTAACTGAGCACATACACCGATGGTGATATCCTTTGAAGTCGCAAAAAACCAGTAGACCAAGACACCCATAAAGGACGAGTACAAGCCATATTGGACAGGCAATCCTGCAAGTTTTGCGTACGCCATGCCCTGGGGAACGACAACTGCGCCGACCGTGATACCTGTGGTGTCTGTTAGGGTACCTGAAATCAATGATAATCGGTTGAGGAGCTACTTACCGGCAACGAGATCACCCAAAAGCCATTGGATATTGTATCTGGTGATCCAGCGAAGGAACGGGAACAGATTGACCACGAATCTGAGAAGCTGGCGGCCGGATGGAACACACTCCGAGAGGAACTCTACGCTGCGAGGCTCCTGCTCGACGAAGGTGTCGCCGCTTGCCGTGGAGAAGGTCGACTCTCCACGCGTGACTGGATCCGGGCCCGGATAGTCAGGCTTCTCAAGCTTGATACCAAGGACCTTGGCGAGTCCATGGCCGACTTTTGTCGACATCGACAACTCCGAGGAAGACATAGTCGCAGGGAGTGTCCAGTAGTGTGATGGGGGGGAGGAAAAAAAACGGTCGAAGACAGGAAAAGAGCTTATCAGAATACCGGCAGATTTAAATAAACGATGATATCGCGCAGATATACAAACTGCCGGGTTTCCGACCGAATGACCAAATGCTAGAACAAGGGACACGGGACAACGAGCTGGTGTGCGGTCTGCAAATGTTGTCTCTCCTCGCACAGCATACGATCAATGGGGTCCAACAGATAGAACCCAACACCAGGCCAGGTGAATCAAGAAGGGCCCAAGCTCAAATCTCCGCGGATGATGTGGTTTAGTTCGTCCCCATCATCATGTGCAGGCTGGTTACAAAATGCCAAGAAAAAGGAAGGGGGAAAAGGGAGACGGTGGCGGAGGAGGAGGAGAGGAGAGAGCAGAGGGACAAGGAGATGGGATCAAACGGGGAGAGGAGTAGTAGAGGTTGTGTTCCTGGAGGAGCGAGCTGCGATAGATATATGTAGCTGGGCGGTGGAGGGAGCGAGCTCGATGCGTGGTCGAAACTCGGGAGAAACGCAGTGAGAAATGAAATGAGGAGCGAGGCAAGTCTGATCGATCGAGCAGAAAACACGACGAAACGTCGATCCTGAAAATTAATAGCGAGTATTGAAGAAACCAGGCGTCGCAGGGTTTGGATGCGAGAAGCGATGGAGACGCCGGTGAAGATCACGCAATCGGCCGTGGGCAGCGAACCGGGAGCCAGCACTGTGCAATTTTTCGCCAGCAGGGGCCCCGTTCAAAGAAAACAGCCGGGATGGACAATATAGAGTTGCTCGTCTTCAGGGAAATCGAAACCGGCCGCAGCTGAATCCACTGCTCGCTCACCACGGGCGACAAACGTGGGCCGGGGGCTCCGTCCAGGCATCTTGATCTCGAGCTCGCCGATCCTGTCACGGTCCAGTGCAACTGCAGGCAGGGGAATCTACATGGCTGAACCGGACGCCCTTGCTCAGCTCAACAATACGGGGAGCGCACAGCTCACCTCGTAGTGTGTGTGTTGTGTATATGAGGGTGTGTGTGTGTGCGGCACATCCAGGGTGAGGTCATCGACAGCCGCGTCGAGGCGAAACAAAGAAGCGAGCGCGCAGTTGAGTCCCGGTTGGGTTCAGCATGCAGCACACTAACTAGTCTACAACGCCCGTTTCAAGACGGTGAGGAGCGCAAAGCCGTCGATGCCTCAACGATCTCCATCCGTCGCATGCTCTGGTCAGGATGCACCGCACAGATGCTTCGGCGCGATCGGCTGGACGAAGTCGGTCTGGGGTAAACAGGCATCTCGATTGGACTGCATCCAGTCTGTTGATAACCAGCCAGCAACGCTCTCCAGGGACCCAGGACAAGACCAGGATTCGGGATCGCCCTCCAAGACTTCTGGGCGTGAGCACCGATCAGGCTGACCCTGGATGATATCATGGGGGCCCAAATTTTAACACCCGCCCGGTTTGACTTGGCTCCAGGCGTGACGAAAGTTCATCCATGTCTGGCTCACCCGGTGTGGCTCTTGATGCTCAGGCCGAGGCGGGAAGCCGAGTGCCAATCCTCTTGATTCAGTCTCACCAGCAGCCCAGGCTGAGGGAGAATAAGAATACCGAGAACGCTTCTTCTCGCTGTCAATCTCAAATAAGCGCCGCTGCCGCAGCAGATCGATCGTAAACGCTTCTCGTGCAATCTCCAACTGTGAGAACCGTGTCTATCTGGTGTATCAGATTCAGAGGGTGAAATGAGATGTCTTGGCCGAATCAATCCGCCATTTTCCACGCTCCTGGACCCTGGTCGTCCTGCAGCGAGTTTAACTGGCCTGTTGTTACATAGCTCGTCGAGCAGCCCGGGCTAGTGACCGAACCAGTTAATCAACTACCTTGCTGGCCCCGGATCTCATTCTGTGCCGAAACGGCATCTCTGCGAGACAGGGTCCGAGTCCAAACGTACATGCAGATTGCTCCACGAAATTACTCAAATCTTGAAGATAGCACAAATCGTTGCTCCGCTCTGTAACGATCTTATCTCCTCTACGACCAACCACTTTCCTCTCTGCGTTGCTCCTCTCAACGCAACTTGGCGTGTGGTATCCAATCCTGACCAGACAGGTTCTGACACATGCTGCTCAACCCCAAGCCCGCTGCTTGACGCTTCTGGCACATGGTTTGCCACATGCACGAAGCTGGTCAATGACCTCCCAGCAAAGGCCTGTGTGGCTGCGAACCGCATGGCAACTCGCAAAACAGATTGTGGACGTGCTCAGTGATAGTCGACCCTAACATTTGAATTCGGCCTGATTATCAAAGATCAAGCATTTCTGTCTCACCCTCGCGTCCGACCTGATCCTCCATTCATCGGTGCGATTGCCACTAGCCAGAAACGGGGAGCTTCCTCCAGAACCACGTTCTCTCCCCAATCTCTTGGGCCAGGGTTACAGCCCTACGACCAGTCGCTGTTTCTCTCCTCCTTTGTTCCATGTGTTCGGTCCAGTTTTGCCAACGAAACAAGTTGTGTGTCTGACCCTATATCAGCCGGCTTATCACTTTTGCCCAGAGCCGCATCTCGCCCCAACGGCAACAAGCGGAAACCCGTCACATCTCGGATCGTATTTCTCTTCGTATAGGAGAGACAGTTAAACAAGAAAAAGCGGATATCGACTCACTCGTCCGCGTGTCGAACCGCTGAGAATCGGGAAGCTATGATTGCCTCTTATTATGAGTGTGCCAAAGCCTAGAATGCCGACGTACGACGTCGATCCCCAGTGTTTAATTATCTGACGGGAAAAATCTCTTCGAGCAGCACAAATCGCTGCTTGATGTAGGACAGCCGTGTTTGATGGACCCCCGGTTAATAGTGTCAGTGAAAATGGATACAGCTGACTGAAGCGCAGGGCGGAGCTTCAAAGGAACACCCCATGCTGGACACAGCGTACATATAATGTAAACCGCCTGCAGCGCACGCAAACAATTCCAAGCCTTTCACATAAACCTTTTGGCCATAACTATTGAGGCTTCAATAAAGCGATCTGCATCTTGTATCTTTGCCTCTTTGTATTCTTTTGGCTTTTTTGTTTGTCTTCCAATTTAAAGTAATTACAGAAACCTTTTGTTCCTCCAAAGCGCCTGGTACAAAGCAGGTCAGTCCGGACTACCATCGCTACACAGCGTCATCTGCACTCCTTTTGCCAGACAAAATTCCTCCAACGCTCATGCAACCCAACTCATTTGACCTCTATTGAAGCACGAGCAGCCGAAAAAGTGCTCACAACTGTGAAAGAAATGAAAACAAAGGACACAGCTTGCCATGTTGGGTAATCCAATAATGACGTGCTCCCTAATCCTGATCGTGCAACAGCAAGGGACTAGATCTCCGCGGTCCGCCTAAAGTCGGCTCCTTCGGCTTGTCATCTTGGGGAACAAAAAGGGCCATACTCCCAAATTGAGCTTCCAGACAGCCCCTTTCTGAATCTTGAGTAACAGGGCAGTGCTAGAGGGGCAAAATCTGGCTCTCTGCACGACCGACCTTTCCCAAAAGAGACTGCCAGTGATGACCGATACTGACTATCTTGATTATGCTAACTTGTTGATTTTCCGGTTTACAGAAAGATGGGATCCAGGCCGAGAATTGGCGCTGCAACCGCCCTATCCAATTCCAATTCCTGCTCTTCTTCTCTCTCATGCTGTCCTAGGCAAGGGTTCCGGAGAAAGTCATCACAGAGTTCCTCAGATCCGTTCTTTCCCCTTCTCCGCCTGAGACTCCTCTCCTCACCCCATACACCGCCCTCACCACCAGGCACAGCGTCTCACGACTCGTCCAGACAAATCCGCAGCGCACCAAGGCCGCAAGAGGCCATTAAATCCCGCAATGTGAGACACAGCAGAAACACTGTCGCGCGGCGGAGGACATGGCAGAAGCAAAGAAACAGCCAAAAGAGGAATGGAGGACGACGTCAGTGAGGACCCAATCAAATCTTCTGGATGGCTTTGTGGGATGGCATCTCGAACGCTGCGGGCGAACGCAGGGAGCCGAAGATTACAATTCTCGACAACCCCCCATGCATGGGGAGTTGGCCATATCCGGCGAAGAAATATAAATGAAAAAGAAAGAAAAAAAAAAGAGCACTCTAGCTGGAAAAGAGAACAAGAAAAATGAAGTACAGCATGAACACCCTAGCCAAACGTGCGCGTTCTCTTGGTCCAGGACGTCTCCTCATCCATCGGGAGACTAGACATCGTTTGTGCGACTCGCAGCTCACATCTGCACGCACACAGATAGTCAAGCCTGTGCGAACCCTGGAGGGAAGGGGAGTCCATGGCAAACACAGCTCAAGCGGGCCAGCCGCCAGGAGGTGACACAAGCTTGGCAATTGCTTAAACAGACGTGGACTTTGATCATGGAGTAAGAACCTACTACTACAATTGATAGCCTCAAAGGAGATAGATGTGCACCGTGGGATTGTTGTCGAGTGGGACACGCTTAAAAGCGGTGGTTGTTCTCGGTGTTCAAAATTTCATTAATTTTACGGAGACTCCGGGACAGCAGATAATTAGCAGACAGATAGTTATCGTCCCGTCTCCCTTTGCAAGGGCTTGGTTAATTTAGTTCTAATGAAGAATCACTGGTGGCAAAATGATATGCTGGCATTTTGACCCCCGCATTCTGCAACTTATAGCCAAACTGGGGGGTGGGAATTCTTATTACTACTATACTCCTCATTAGATACTCTTATGCACATCCATAGCCATTGTGTCTGAACCCTACCTGTTTCTTCCCCCCCAAGCCTGGGAAAAGAGTTGATAGGAGAATCTCCAAGGCCATGACTGCCTTCTGGTATCATTTATGAGATGTAAACGGGCGCGGAGCCCACAATGAAAAACCTTCTATAAGATGCCTTCCTAGCCACCGCAGACACAGGAGAGAATCAGTTAGTAACTTCATAGTGCCCTTGCTACTTGGGCTGTGGGAAGCTCTCTCTGCAAATCTGGCACACCATATGGTGGTGTCTACACGACCTGCGCGCACCAGGCAGACAGGTGGAAAACTGTATGTCTCTACAGAAACTCCATTGATTAGACTAGATACTCAATGCATAAATACCTCCAGATTTGCTTTTGATGATGGAGCTCATTGGGAGAATTAATATCTCTTCACAGCAGACATAAAAAGGCTGCAAGTCTAGCTGGTGATGGCAGTGTCCTGGTCAGGCTTCACAGTCTGCGTTCTATCCTTGAGTGCATAGTGAGAGTTCTCACCCGTGGCCTACGCTTGCGGCTTGCCGGGTTTGGTTTGAGGTTCGTCACTGAGTCCTGGCTATTTTGATCTTTGCCTGGGGCTGACTGTGATAATATCATACATATTTCAACAGGTCTGATTTGCTGCTCCCACGGGCAGATCTTGAGCCTCGTCTATAGCAGTTGGTTGTTGGTTTGGAAGGCAATTTTGATACACATGGGACTCTATAAGCACGTAACTTAGTCTTCATAGTTAAAATGATACTGAAGGATAATACTCCGCAAATAATTTAAGAGATGAAAACGACACACGAGCATGAAAGAAGAAAGTCGTTCACCAGCGGCTGATAATCTAAAATCTGACTAATGGATTTCTGGACGGCACTGTACAAAGTGAGGCTCAGCAAAACTCGAAGAGGAAGTTGATAGCAAAAGCAAAAAAGGAGCAAAAAATAGAAGGGAAAAATAGAGAACAACTTTGATGAGCGATCAATGCAGAGAGAAAAGAGAAGCGAACAAGCATGCCAGGAATATTAAGTAGTAAAAGACACCGCCTTCATGTCGTTCACATCCAGCGTCGGGAAGAAAAAATGTCCTTCCAAACACCTGTATCCCATGCCTCGAGTTTCCGGAGTTGAAAAAATGCTGCCTTTTTGAAGATGGAACCATAGAGGGAAAAGGAAGCGATTCTAGTGTCAACACCGTCGCCGATATTCCTTCGCCCAAGAGTCTAATAAAAGATTAAAACTCTCTGCCTTTGTTTCATACAACACGCTATGCAAGGTTCCTCATTATACGAAATGTTTTTATTGTGATGCGCACTGCATTCGTTCTGCGCCGGGTGGCACGCCATCGTCGTCTTCGTCGTCATATCCTGCCGCGCCATGCGCACGGGCCTGGGAGCTCTCGTCGACATCTTCCAGTTCGAAGTCTTCTACCATGGAATCTGATGGAGTTTGTTGTTGCTCGAGACGCGGTGGTAGAACTTGTTCGAGCAGGTCCAGATTTCGAAGGTCCTCTGACTTTGGGAATTTCACGTTGAATTGGATATAAAGATTTCCAAAGTCATGATGGCGGTAAGAAGGCATGCCTTGGCCCTTGACAACCTTGATGGCACCTATTACAGCGTTAGTCGACCTATGGTGGAGAAAATTGGGATGGCATCAAAATACATACCAGGTGTGATGGGCTCGCCAGGTGCAATATTAATAGACAGCCATCGGTCGTCAAGATGCTCAACATTGATAGTGCCTCCAGCGAGCGCGGTGAGGAGGTCGATGTCAGCTTGGTAAAACAAATCATCGTCTTTTCGTTGGAATCGCGGGTGCGGCTTTTGCTCGATTTCGAATACTACGTCACCAGGCAATGCTCCTGGCACTTGGTCGCCCTCCCCGCGGAAATCGATTCTGTGGCCGTTCTTGACACCTCGGTCAACGTGAACATGAAGAACTTTCCTCTCAACAATAGTTTTCTTGCCACTGCAGCGCTTGCAACGGTCTTTATCCCGAATCATTTCTCCTTCACCATTGCAGTCTGAGCACACACTCTGGAAACGCTGGATCATCGGTCCCATCTGGCGCATCATGATCTTCATACCGGTACCATTACAGCCATGGCACTGCTTTACTGCACCTTCTTTTCCTCCTCGTCCCTCGCATCCTGGACAGATGACAGATTTCTGGAGGGCTAATTTGGAGACCTTGCCGCGGTAGATGTCTTCTAGGGAAACTTTGTGGACGTGGTGAATGGTTCTTGCTTTCTTCGGGCCGGTATCTCTCATTCCACCACCGAACATGCCGCCAAAGCCTCCGCCACCGCCAAAGAACTGAGCGAAAAGATCCTCTGCTTTCATGCCGCCCGCAGCGCCGCCTTGTTCTAACCCTTCTTCGCCATATTGATCATACAGCTCGCGCTTCTGTGGGTCCGACAAGATCTCGTACGCGTGTGATAAATCCTTGAACTTTTCGGCGGCTTCGGGGTTGTGTGCGTTCTTGTCTTCACGAGATAGTTAGCACTAGACTACGTTTTCAACTTTTGTTATTGACGCGTGCTTGACATACCCGGATGATGTTTCAAAGCACCCTTTTTGTAGGCAGTCTTCAACTCCGCTTCTGTAGCATTGACTGAAACCTGTAGTTGAAATGTTAGTGATGCCATATCGTGGAAGAAGAATCCTTTGGATGCAGTCACCCACCCCTAGGATTTCGTAGTACTTGGTTTCTTTCACCATTTTGGTAAAAACCTATGGCGAGAAATCAAATTCAAAAGAAAGAGGGAGGAGGGGAAGTGAAGAGAATGATTGCAGGGATGACTTGGGTGCTGTAGTCGAATCGCAGTTGGGTTGTATAAAGAGGATCTCAGAGCGATAGTCACAGAATAGCCTCTTCGCTTCCTTGAGATACTCGCCAACACTGTCTTCTGACGAAACGCGATGCGAAAGAGAGGATGTTGATGTTGCTTGATCCAAGCGGAAGATATCGAAGAGGGACGGATGCTCTGGGAAATCTGGACCTGAAAAAAAGTATCCTGTGGTTGGTAATGGAAAAAAGCCTCTTTCGGTTTCCGTGGTCAGGGTCTGACGTTTTCCCTTGTGTAACGGACTGTAATTTTACATCGCCATTCGCATTGAGAATCAAGCAGAATTTATCACTTTGTTATTGAAGGCTTCCTTGGTGAAATGGGCAAGCTACCCTAACTTTTAGGGAATTCCAAGCAACTGTGATAGTGAGAAAGCTCATTTGAGACTTTTTTTGCAATGAGCAGCCTCTAAGAATTGTTCACAATCCTTTGCCTTTTGCTCCATCCACAAGTCAACACTCAAAGATATGACAATACAGTTACAATACCGCCTTTCCAAACCGGGTTAGACACGGCTCGACACGATGGCGTATTAGACTTCCTTGGGCTTCTGAACGCTTCCATCTGCCTCGCGCACTTTCGATCTCTTTCGCTGCCTGGACGAGTGCCTCAAAGAGCCCGCCTGCATGTGACCGGGGCTTCGACGGGATTCGAGCTTGCGCTGGAGTATGACTCTGCGTCTTTCCGCTTTGTTTTTCGCAATATAATATGGCCTTGGGAACTACTTGCTTCAAAGCGCAACGGAGAATTTTCATGTGTTGCCCCTGATTCGTGGTGGGGATTTCGCCATCTCAAACCAGACGCGCTTCTGGAGTGGCCGCCAAGCTATTTTTATCTCCGTTTAAGCCCATCGATGATGACATAAGCAGATTAACTCCTCGTCCACCGAGGTACGTGCAAGTTGTTTACAAGGGTGAGCAGTCAATGTGCTTTTGCAGTGAATTGCCAGTGGCTAGTGAATGCATTCCTATGGTCCGATCCTGAAATAATTGCCTGCATCAACTTGCCTAGTAGCAAGCTAGCTGGACCAAGGACGGACTACATCAAGTTCCGACAAATAGCCTTTTCAACTTCTGCCATTTTATTCAGAGGTGGGATTGCGTACGGAGTACAGAATTATGGATTTTGAGCGCTATGTCTTTCTATAGAATCCGAATAGACTGGATGGGCCATTTCGTGACAGCCCTCTCAGGAAGAAGCAGTTAGACGGTGGACCTCTTGGAAGAAGAATTTCAGCTTTTCTGGATCGACAAATGGAGTGACACCTAGATCAATTAGCCGGAGCGGTCATACGGACTCTCTTTTCATGCATAGCACTCACCATGTCCCAGGTTCACTATCCACCGTTGTTTCCCACCCCAGAATCCCGCAACCATGTTCTCAACCACGGCAGTGATAGCTTCTTTAGAGCCATATAAACATCCAGGGTCTGCATTTCCTTGGAGGGTGACTCTTCCATTTGCAATCCGGGCTGCTTGCGCAGGATCATGGAGCCAATCAAGGCCCACAACGTTATATCCGGACTGACACAAGTCATCCAACGCGTACCACGCACCCTTAGCGAACACGGTCATCGGGGCAGGCTCATATCCAAGTTCGGATGTTCTCTTCGGTAGGTTTGTCGCGATATACCGCAGATAAGGGAGAGCGAATTCAGAAAACGAGGCGGGTGACAGTTCTCCAGCCCAGGAATCAAAAACTTGCACTAATTGCGCTCCAGCTGCCACTTGCAACGCGAGATACTCCACACAGATCTCAGCAATCTTCTGCAGCAACGCCTTCGACGCCTCGGGATACTTGTACAGCCACGTTTTCGACTGGATGAACATCTTGCTGCCCCCCCCTTCCACCATATAGCACAGTAGCGTCCACGGTGCCCCGCAAAATCCAATCAGCGGAACCCTACCCTTCAATTTCTGCCTTGTGAGTGTGATAGCTTTATAGACGTAGTCCAGCTCTGCTTTGACATCCACTTCCTTCGCCATCACTTTCTCGTATTGTCCATCGTCAGGCGACTGCAATGGTTCCGGGAAGCTGGGGCCCTTTTTGTCTATCATTTCGACAGTCATACCCATGGCTTGCGGGATAACGAGAATATCCGAGAAGATAATCGCGGCGTCGATGAGGCCCGCATACCGTTCAATGGGCTGGAGAGTCAAGGTCGATGCGACCTCGGGATCACGACAGCATTCGAAGAAATCGCGGGAGCCTTTCGCTTCATGGTACTCGGGAAGGTACCTTCCAGCTGGAACAGAGAGGCGCAGTGAGTATACATGCTGTGCAGTTCTAGAGCAAGAAGAATGGGATAATTTACCTTGTCGCATAATCCATATAGGCGGCCTTTCAACTCTCTCCCCTATAGAACGTTAGCGACGTTTATATACCATTGAATGATTTCGCATACCCTTAGCAGCTCTTAGAAGAAGATCGTTCTTCAACGGTTCGAATTGATTTGACATGGTTCCTGGTGTGATTGATCGTTGACTTGGAGCTCGGTGGTGGGGGTGGTTTGAAGCACCCCAAAATCCGAGCCTAACTAACTAGTTAATGCGCAGGGACTAACTAACTACCGCCCCGCCTGGAGCGGAATCATGACCGAGAGTTAAAAACGGAAGAACGATATCAGCTGCTACAGACCATGTGGGTAAGCTCTTAACTTGATTATCCGTTCGTTTTATATAAGTTTTGGTTGTAGATGTTTCTAATAGCTATTTCTAGTGTAGCCAAAAATTTTCTTTTCCATTTTATCTTGTCTCCGCTCGGCCCCATTTTCTCAAGTTCCCCAACTCCGTAGAGAGATTCAGATAAAGCCCTGTAATTCCTTTTTTAGTATTTGGGTTGGCAATGGGATCCGAGAGTGTCGCGATTATTGATCGCGTCCGTTATGGGATCATCCGCCTCTTCCCAGGCTAGCGCACCGTGATTGGTGGCGGTAAAGCACTGTACTAATTTAGACCCCATGGCCGAATCTCTCAACTCCTTGGTCGAGCCTTGTTTGTGGATGTTATCGACTGAAACATAAACTTTACCACTATCATCCGCAGCTGTGACATCGAGGGCATTCCCAGACAATTCAATTGCGTTAGAAGGGGTCAGTATCCCATCCATGCTAACGCTAAACGTTAAGAGCTTTGAAACGCTACGATTATCAATATTAGTTCAGTACTGGAATGGTGCTTATATGAAGGGTGCTTACCCTTCCAAGGCAACTAGAATGGCTCCTGGAGTATGCGCGCTTAGCCCACCAGCAAAAGGAACCGCACAGATACCCGAGACAGTTATCCTCCCTGTATCAGAGGGCTGTGGGCTATTCTCCTCGCTGTTCGGGTTATTGGAGCCGAGTCCCAGTGGAACCTTGTGTAGGAGGCGGCCTTCCAGCCAATCCCAACAGAATAAGAAGTCATCGCCTCCACCTGATATCAAAATTTTGGGGATCCAAGATGGAATGCACAGCTTGCTCACAAATGATGTGTGCCCTAAACAGTAACCATGGATGACATGCGTTTGAGGAAGGCTTCGAGAGACGCGGATATGTTCGTCACGATCCGACGTTATTAAGTATTGGCGAGGGCCAGCGGTGGCGTCAGTTGAAGGAGGTGTAAGAATCATATCACTCAGCATCGATACATGTCCAAGCAAAAGCGTGTGCTCGAATGAAGGCTCTGACTTCTCCTGCGCCGCACGAGGGTTGCGGAGCTGCTGCTCAAGTGCCCTGAGATTCTTTTGCGTATGAACAGTAAGTTTGGAAGCAGACGGCTGGAAAGGTTTCGAAGCTTCTGCGCCTTTCCTCAATGGCAACGTCACTTCTTCCCTTGGGAGTATTGGTAGAGAATAAACATCCCCAAACTTGTCTCCACATAGGATGGTGGTATTATCTGGTGTTACTGCAAGTGCGCAAGGGCGCTTCGGCATAAACCTGAGTGATTTTGTCAGCAAGTTCGTTCAATATACCTGAACGTTGACGCCATTCCGCAGCGCTTACCGTTCTGATAATTGGGTGAGTGTTCCATCAGGCTTCAGTTCCAAAACTCGTAAGCATTTGTCTTCTCCCGTTACAACAATGACATGATCTCCACTTGGAGAAACGGTAAGAATTGGGATGGTAGACCATGCTCGCCCTGCACTCCCCGTCTCTGGTCTGCCAGCTGTGCTTTTCCCGGATTTGGCTTCCTCGGTTTCCTCGGCTGGCGGGGACAATCTCCTTCTTTTTTCAGGAGGACTGGAGCGGTCTTTGACATCCGGGGATAATTTGGGATCCGCATCCGCGGGGATTGGCCAACTTGATACTTGCAGCCCAGTCTGAGCTTGGAAGACCTTTATTGTTGGGCCCTCAACTGCGACGAGCACTGGCTCCTCACGCATGCAATAACGAATGCGCGAAATTGGATATCGGAAACTCATCATGCCTTATTCCTCACACGGGAAAAGGACAGAAAGCTTGCCCTTCTCTCCCACTCCGGCGCACATCAGACAAATTCCGCAGCCAGAGCGATACCACGTGACTGCTGTCGGGGCCTGCGCGAGTGGGTGCAGCCGCCGGCCCTAGTTAGGCGAGCGGCGCCAAGCCACAAGGGAACAAATGATGAATTTTGGGCAAAATCAATTCAACTCCAGTCCAGCATCACCAACACAACACCCAACTCACACCACCACAGAGATCAATTCCAGCTGCCCTTAAATATCCTATCTTCACAAACAAGGAGACATGGGGGGCCGCTCAGCTAGCAAGACTGCTTACTTCGAGAAGCTCAAGACCCTTCTTGATGACCACAAGTCGATCTTCATTGTCACCGTTGACAATGTCAGCTCTCAGCAGATGCACGAAATCCGCTTGAGCCTTCGCGGCGAGGCCGTTGTGCTCATGGGGAAGAACACTATGGTATGAATTTGCATTGCATGGTTTTCCGGTTTTGTACTAATTGGATATGCAGGTTCGCCGTGCGCTCAAGGGTTTCATTGCCGATAACCCAGAATATGAGCGGTTGTTGCCTCACGTCAAGGGTTTGTGTTTTCAGCCTGGTACACCTCGACATGACGACCTAGTAACACTTTGGTTTAGGAAATGTCGGTTTCATCTTCACCAATTCCGACCTGAAGGAGATCCGTACCAAGATTCTGGCCAACAGAATTGCTGCTCCCGCTCGTGCTGGTGCCGTTGCTCCTGATGATGTCTGGGTCCCCGCCGGCAACACCGGTATGGAACCCGGTAAGACATCTTTCTTCCAGGCTTTGGGTGTTCCCACCAAGATTGCTCGTGGTACCATTGAAATTACGAACGATCTCAAGCTCGTCGAAGCCGGCTCCAAAGTCGGTGCTTCCGAAGCCACCCTTCTCAACTTGCTGAACATCTCTCCGTTCACGTACGGTATGACTGTTGCTCAGATCTACGACGATGGACAAACCTTCAGCCCCGCAGTTTTGGACATTGAGGAAGAGCAGCTCCTTGCCACTATCCAATCTGCCATTAGAACCATTACCACTATCTCCTTGGCCACCAACTTCCCCACATTGCCCTCCGTCATGCACTCACTTGTGAACGGCTACAAGAAGGCTTTGGCTATCGCTGTGGAAACTGATTACAGCTGGAGCGAAATTGAAGAACTCAAGGATCGCATTGCTAACCCCGATGCCTATGCCACTACTGTTTCCGCTCCCACAGAGACCAAAAAAGAGGACAAGCCTGCTGATAAGGAAGAAGAGGAGGAAGAAGAGAGTGATGAGGATGGAGGTATGAACTTACCCTTCGACAGGCTCCGGTGCCAGCCTTTACTGACGATACCATTGCAGGATTCGGTGGTCTTTTCGACTAAAATGGTAATTTCTTGTCACGAGATCTATGAAAAGCAATGTAGAATACGCTTTGTTATTTCTCGTAATTGAAAATCATCATTTCACCTTCAACTTACTGAAGCTCTACGTCTGACCAAAGGATCTCCAGCCTTTGCTTAATGGGTAAGCCACTACTTTTCTTTTTTTCCTTGCGATGATCATTCTCCTGGCGAATGATTAAAATTTTTTAACCCTGAAGAGCTTCGATGCTCCATTTTGAAGATCAAACAAAACGCAACAACAACACTCTAATTTTTTAATGACGCCTGCTTTAATATTTGCTTGTACTTTCCATGTGTTCTTCTCTGAGAATATAGGCTAACCAAAGAAAAGGTCCTGTAGGCCCTTTCAACATGTCAGATCGCAGCCCTATTCACAAGAAGTCGGGCTATTGTTACTTCAGGGTTAGAATAAGCAAAGAATAGTGCAGCGTAAAGGCTTTTGAAATGAACTTGGACCTTATCCATACATAAGCACCGTACAAGATTCGTACTGCCAAACAATTTCGTAAGTCGTTGCAACTCTGTCAAACTATCTAGGTTGAAAGGATTCAACGAGAGCCCTCATCCCCACCCCTCCCGAACCTCCCTCCCAAACCACCCAAATCCCTCCGGAAGAATTTCCCAATGTTCTTCAGGTTCTCATTTAGATTAGTCGCATGTAGTCCTGCCGCCGCCAAACCACTTTCACTTGCATCCCCCCCAGCAGCCGCCTCTGCTGGGGATAGAGTTTCCATCCTATTGCTCGTTCCGGGAGACGTTTGGTTCACAACTAGATTTCCCAAGGCAGGAGTACCTAGCCTATCGACCCCGTCGCGGGCGGCGGATATCAGCGCCGAACCAAATGTTGTCGCGTCAAACCTCGTCTGGAGAGTGCTAGCTCCTAGCGACGAACTTGGAGCGTTTGCGAGGCTACTTAAGCCCAAACCTTGTGCGGCGGTCCCAGGCTGTGGGGCGACGCTTGAGCTCTGTGGTTGTAGTTGGGCGATTATCGGGTTGCTCGCGAGGAGGTTTGAAGCATAGCGATCAGAGGCTTTGTGGATTTGAAATAGTTCAAGTAAACGGTTTTGCTCTATTTTGCCGCGGATCCCTTTGATGTCAAGTAGCTTGCGAAAGTTGTTATCGTTCTTGTCGGCAATGTGGATGAGATAGGCCTGCACAAGGGCTTCTGCAGGCGATGCTCGGACTTGTAGCGTTTTCAAGAGTGTGTCAATCTTCTGGAATGTAGCGTTGAGGCGTTTGGTAAAGCCAGCAGGTGCAGGATCGAGAAGGTTGGACAGTCCATTCTTAAGTGAATAGCTATCAAGGAGCATCTGGGAGATAGTTAGCACTCGCTTTCCTAAGGGACATGTGAAAATGTGTTGTTCGAACCTGTTCAGCGCCGGTCTCGGAAACCGGCCTGCATTGGTAGATATTAGAAATGAAGCTGCTTGAAATATGCTCCACGAGATGATCAGCAAAAGTTCGTGCGTATTGTTGCTTGTGAAGCATGGACAGAATCTCTTCGGATTTTGCCTTGCATTTCGCCAAAAGAATTTCAAGGTAAGAACTCTGGTCGCCAACACTATCAAGTTTATTCCAGGCTGTATTCCGCATCTCTTTCCATGCCGGCTCTAGTTCAAATTCCACCTTTCGGACCAAAGTACGGACAACAGCGCTCGCGATGCCCATGAATGAATCCGCTTGACTTTGTAAATCGATGGTCTGTTTGAAATTTTCGTCCACTCGACCTTTGATCTTTTCTTCCAGCTGACTGCAAGTCGAGTAACAGTAATCTGCTGTGTTCAATACCATGATGAGTTCCTCCAACGATGGCGTATTGGACGGAGTCTGACCGCTTGCTCGCTCGCTAATATGGTACAGCAAGACCTGTTGAGCATATTGATCGAGGTACTTTGCAAAAACCTTCGATAGCTCTGCCAAACTATTCCCTGTGGATAGTTTCGCGCACTGTGCGAGGGAATGGCGATAGAACGTGAATAGATCAGTAGAGGAATGAATAACCAGCTGTGGAGAGAAGTCTTCATCATCCGGCTTCACGGGTTGCTGACGATACTTCGTTATGAACGTGGCCAACTGTTTATCCTGTGCCTCGACCCACACACCAAGATACGGCGTAAATGCTTCTGATATCGATTGGGAAAAGGCGGGCGACTCACTTGAAGTGAACGTATCGATTGAAGCGCGGGAAGCAGTGGTAAAATGCTTATCGAGGGACTGTTCAAAGTCAAGCGTCTCCTGTAGGCAAGAAAGAAGCAAATTAACGTCCAGGGTTTGTCCACTTCGAACCGAACGAGACAGAATCCCCTTAAAATCGTCCCGAGTCCCCTCGCAAAAGGCATTTGTGAGTGTCTCGCCAACTTTCCAAGACGTCGGAAAGATAACCGCATGTTCCTCATCGTATGTCTTCAGCATTCTCCTAAACCAGGAATATCTCCGCGATATGTTGTCAAGGGAGCCCGCCTCTTCATTCCCTCTAAACACCTGTCTATACTCTCTGAGCTGAGTGTTGCAATACCAGTTGGTGAGCCTTGTTTTTGCCGCATCGCCTAGAGCTTCCATGACCAAACACCCTTCCGATAGAACATTCTTTCGCTGCGCAATTTCCCCTTTGGCAAATATGAGTTCAAAATCCTCGCAAACTTGCTCCAGCAACTCCCTCTGTATATCCGCTACATTCCGGCTCAAAGTAGCGATTTGGTCGATAGACCGATACGACTTGAAATGCGACATCAATTGAATAACCGCCTGTAGCAACTGCGCGCAATCCCTGTATTGCCTCGACTTGCTCAACGCCTTGAGCTGCTCGTATGCCGTGGTCAGCATTTGTAACCTCTTCAGCGTCGTCATCGATAGCGTCAGGTTCTTCTTCGTATTATCTAACTGCTTGATATCCGCCGTCATTTCCGTGATGGCCTGTTCCGTCTTTAGAGCCCGTTCGCGCACATCGTCGATTTTCTTGAAGAGCTCGGCCATGTCAGCTTTGGCGGTTCGGATACGCTCAACGCTATCCTGATTTGAGGCCGTCTGCGCCTCGACGAGCTTTGTGATATCCCGACTAAGCCCATCTTGATAGTCGCGGAGGATTTGAGAGGTTTTGGGGACGGCGCTGAGGGTGGAAGGGTGGGAGAATATTGCGTTCAGGTGGTCAATTGGGTTGTAATCGACTACGTCAAGTTAGCCATTCAAAGCGAATCCTAATGAAATAGAAAATCTTCCAACTTGCCTCCATCCAGTGGATCTTCCACTTTTGCGTTGGGTACCGGCATATGTGTCGCGGTAGACATTCGGTGAAGCAAGAGATCAGGGTTGATGAGATGTTTTTCACATCCTGTGGTGCTGTTCGTTCCCCCCTGAGCTACTTATAGCCACGGAAACACTGGATCCTAATCAAAGCTCTTCATAGTCAATGACAGTAGAGTTCCGCGACTTGTGCTCCTTGTGATGATGCCCTGAACGTATCCTGCTTATGGTGCTGATTCTGTCTTCCGTAACTAGTGGCCTACGGATTAGGGTTGCTACAGTACTCCGTAGATGCACTTATTAGGAGTAGAAATGAGTTTTAGTAGATACTATGTATATACAAATATAATTATCACTTCGGAGTTTCTACCGAGGAACCAACTTAAAAATGTCAAGTAACTGGTTATCTTTCGTAAATGCAGCCGCTTTAGCTAAATCTGTCAACATGCATTTGCCTGTTTAGCCATTATAATACCACCAAAGCCCATGTGGATATTGAGCTATGATTGAATCAATCATAGTCCAGGGAGAAATGCATTTTGGGGAAGCTTTCCTTGCGCCTATGTGACGTTAGCATACGCCTGTAAGATTGCGTGGTGGGTTTATACCTTTAGTTCCTCAAAGTTTTTCAAGGCCGCTTCCAAATTCCAGTTATTCCCACTAAGAGCCATTTGGGAAAATTCCAGAGTCATTTTCGTGCTGAAGCTTATCTGAAGCACCAACTGCTCTTGTTTCACTTGTTCGTCCGTTTTCCCAGGGCCCGGCATTCCATATCCATCCTTGGCTTGAGGATGGGCTTTCTGGGTGGGGAGAACAGCCGGTGCCGCGGCTGGTTGCGTTATTGGTTGTGTAGGTATCGTTGGAGGAGCAATCTGTTGAATTTCCGGAACGAACGCCTCCGAGCCTCCATATGACCTCAAACATAGCATATCATTACTAACTCTTATCCCTCCTGGTCCTCGTCCAGGGCCGAGGACAAACGTACGGTCAAAACTTCGTGTTTGGATTTTATTTCCGGTTTTGTTGTCACATTCGTCAAACTTTCCGTGAACAGTAATGAGAAGCCCACCAACGCCAGTGCTACTCTGACCAGTAATGTCCGGCAGCCCTGGGATTGGATGGCATTCGATGAGCCAATCTTTTGGGTTTGAAAGTATGTCTGGATGTTTCGTCCGTGGTAACGAATTCCATGCTACTCGAATGTTTTCTACCCCGACGTAGGCTCGGGACATTTGTGCAGAAACATAGTTTATCTTTAGAAGATTCCTGCTCTTCCTGATATATCCATCCCAGCTGGATGTCGACTCGCCCTGTAAAGCACGCGGCGCGGCAGTATTGACGTTTAACGAAAATACTGATTTCTCATCGTAGATCTGATTCAGAACCTCGTCCTTATTGTTGTCGAAAGTGAAGAAAAACGCCTTGAGGAAGTTTTCTGCGATAGCGGATTCGTCGCGAAAAACAGGTGGTTTAATCGGGATAGGCGTCTTCTTCTGGGCAGCGATCTCCTGCGGTGTTCTGACGGGGGTATTGTTTAAAACTTGGAGTTTGGGATACCACTTGAGCATCGTCTCCTTGAAATCGGGTTGCGCACTCGCTTCGTTTCCTGTAAGATCGAGAAATTCAAGATTGCGAAATTTCCATCTCCAGCTACTCAGGTTCTCCGTGGTTTTGAGTTGATTGTTGGACAGGTCTAAGTTCTTGATATCCGGAAACGTTTGGCTTAAAGAGGTGACCGGAGCGACATTATTCAGTTGATTATTCGCTAGGCTCACGCTCTCAACCGCAGTTCTTCGTTTCTCGCTGGAATCGAAATTAACTTCGCATATCTTCATCAAAGCCGGGAAGAACTTTGATTCAGTAGAAGTACTGTTAAACATCCCCATTTCGATAAGATCTGGATCCGTGCCTAGTTGGGACAGATTGAGCAACTTTGACGACTCAGTATATCTCTTGGCCAGAAATGCTGACATTCTGGCTTTCGTATCTGCCGCTGCTTGGGAAGGGCCTCTGGAGGCACCTCCAAATTGTGATTCATTACATTTCTCAATTGTAATGGGCGCGCCGGCGAATGAGAATCCATTTATTCGCAGAGCCCAATCCACCTGTTCCGGACGCACTGAAATAACCAGGGCATCTCCTTCAACTCGCGACTAGTTAACGTTAGCAAGGCATAAAAACCTTGGTAATGCAGGTCACCCAACGGGTTGGCGACAAGAAGTCTGAATCAACGGAGTTCTTAATCGTCGGTATAGAGAGTTGGCCCGATGACGATAACATCCCCGAAAGATGATACTGCGAAACACGCCGGTGACCGCGGAAACGTGGTGTTTGCACATACCTTTAATATTCTAAACCGGCCAGAGCTCGGGTGTGTGGGCGTGGCTTTCTTTTCGAGAAAAGCGACGAGACTTTCGATACCGCCGTCGGAATTCGATGCGGCTCTGCTTCCTTTCCATCCACGAACTCGAAGTTGGGAGAGCTCTCCATCTATGGCCATTCCAGATGTCCTTCCACGCTTGATGTTGGCCTGCGCGGTCGTGGTGTTAAAAATAGCCTTTTGTAGGGAATCAAGTACCCTGTCTTTAGCGCCTGCCCCATGCTTCTGTGACGGAGTTGCTCGTCGAGACCAGTCGCCTCGTCCACGAGTTCTCCCTCTTCCAACACTCATGTCAAGATCTCCATCTTTGTCGACGCGGGGACCAGCTCCCCGTTTGCGAATACCGCCACGATCCGGGGTGCCGGTTCTGCCTCGAGGGCCTCTTGGTGGGCGAGAACTATTCATTGCTGCGGTAGGAAGGTGTAGCATGACTGAAATAGAGGATATATCGGAGGGAGGGTTCGCCGTGGGACGAAACGGACCCCGTCAGGCCCGCTGCTCAGATCCTAGGGCGACTGGCTGAGGATTGCATATAGAGTACCCGTGATGTTGATAAAATTGGTCAAATGTAAGAAAGGAGTCGATTTCTGTTGTATATTTAGCTGTGAGGATAGGTAGTTGAGAAAGAGGACAGGGCCGTCTGGAGATATCAACGTCAAGGGAAGCAAACTTCTTTTTCAACCAGGCAGCGGTTGGAGCCTGCTGACTCATGCGTATGAGGCTGAAACGCGCTTAAGCAGCCGGTAAGCGCCAGCACGTGACTTGGTGTTGCTGCAGCCGCGGTCAGGTCCGCAGCCAATCAAAAGCAGCCACCGCGAACAAAGGTGGCCTCAGGGCGGCGGACGAGGCGCTTCAGTTTCACGAAGCTCGCTCTTCGTTCTTTTGCTTGCGGAGTTGGTTCCTGTTGAGGACCGGAAGAGACGTTTCGTTACTTGCCATTGCTATAAGTTGAAATAATGCCAATGGTATGAACCGTCTTCGCTGAAGCAGCTCTGGAATAGTTGCTTTTGCGCCCGCCTATCCGCCAGAACAGGGCTTTCCTGCCACTTACCGCACTGTCATTCCTTTAAACCAGAATATAGGCAAACGCCATACGGAAAATGGCGGCCAAATCCCGCTTTACGCGGTTAGATGCGTTTGCGAAAACGGTGGAAGATGCGAGAATACGGACGCGGTCGGGAGGTGTTGTCACCATCGTTGCGTTGATCGCCGTCATTCTTTTGGTTTGGGGGGAATGGAAAGACTATAGACGGGTTGTTGTGCTTTCGGAGCTAATTGTTGACAAGGGAAGAGGTATGGAGCCAATCCAATTGGGGTTGTTTTCCATCAGGTGCTGATTATTATCCAGGAGAAAGAATGGAGATTCACCTCAATATAACCTTTCCTCACCTCCCCTGCGAGCTCCTCACTCTCGACGTCATGGATGTTTCTGGCGAACAACAAAGTGGTCTCATTCATGGCATCAAGAAAGTCCGGCTCGGCCCAGCATCAGAAGGTGGGCATGTTCTTGACGCCCAAACATTGGACCTGTGAGTTGTATTGTGCCACGGTTATTGGAACGTGATTTGTTAACTTGTAACAATAAAAAACAGTCACAAGAAAGATGAGGTTGCAGTGCATCTAGATCCAGAGTACTGCGGTTCCTGCTACGATGGTGTGCCCCCGCCAAATGCCCAAAAGCAGGGCTGCTGCAACACCTGTGACGAAGTCCGAGAAGCTTATGCCTCGCGCGGCTGGGCTTTTGGTAGAGGTGAAGGCGTTGCCCAGTGCGAGCGGGAAGGCTACGGAGCAAGAATCGACGCACAAAGACACGAAGGCTGCCGTCTCGAAGGAATCCTTCGAGTCAATAAAGTCATTGGGAATTTCCACATTGCTCCCGGGCGGAGCTTCACAAACGGCTATATGCACGCCCATGACTTGAAAATCTACCATGAGACCCCCGTCAAGCACACAATGGCTCACATAATTCATCAGCTCCGCTTCGGACCCCAATTACCGGACGAATTGTCTCAAAAATGGAAATGGACAGACCATCACCACACCAACCCGCTCGACTCCACTTCACAAACCACTGAAGATCCTAAGTACAATTTTATGTACTTTGTCAAAGTGGTCTCAACCTCCTACCTGCCCCTTGGCTGGGATGCTTCTCTCTCCTCCGAAGTCCACTCCCGCCTCGCGTCTGATGCGCCACTCGGCAAGCAAGGAATCCAACTCGGGCGACATGGCAGCATCGAGACACATCAGTACTCCGTAACGTCGCACAAGCGTTCCGTCGAAGGTGGCGATGACTCTGCTGAAGGCCACAAGGAACGTATCCACACCGCCGGAGGAATCCCTGGTGTATTCTTCAACTACGACATCTCTCCTATGAAAGTGATCAACCGCGAAGCAAGAACAAAGAGTTTCTCCGGATTCCTGACCGGTGTGTGCGCGGTCATTGGCGGGACTTTGACTGTGGCGGCGGCTATTGATAGAATGCTCTACGAAGGAGCGGTGCGGGTGAAGAAACTTCACAAGAGTTGAGGAGTCTGGGGGCCTTATTCTGCCTTCTTAAGGGTTGCTGCATTAGCATTATGCAGATACATGGAGTGTATTTTTGGATTGCCTATCAACGTACGACTATCCCATACCGCGGATCAGGCTTCCTACAATGAGTTTGTCGACGCAAGGAATGATAATCTTGCTCAACAAATGGGGTCCGGCGTTATTTATAGCACTTCGCCTAGAACAGGCGCCATATGCGGATCTTTATATACGCTATATGTTTAGTCATTGGGATATTTGCGAAACTTGTTATATTCATTATCTGCTCAAATATGATTTCCGGCGCCTACGTTTGCTTTTCAAGTCATGAGTTAAAAAGGTTAGGCCAGTTGCTTTTAATAAAATAAATTCTCTTATCAGTTGGGCCCATGGTCAACTGAGCATGTTCAATTAAGACTAGAAATAACTTCTACACACCTTTCAAATACTTAGACCCATACAGAAGAGTAAAACAGCGCGTACGCCCTTTATACTTGATGATAAGAATATCTATGTAGTTACTTTCAAACTAAAAACAACAATGATGAAAAATCAAGGAGAGAGCAGATCCACCTAAAGAGACAAATTCAGACAAACAAGGAGATGGAAGAAGCAATGTGGAGAGATAACCTGAGAACAACAACATGTCAGGAGATCATGTAGCTGTTTGTATGGGAGAATGTATGAGAGATGCAATAAAGGAATCTGTTTTGAGAAATGTTTGTTTTCCAGCCCTGAAAATGCACCGCAATTAATGAATGGATGGGGACAGAGAAACGAGATTTCAATAAGGAAAAGGACGAGTGCAAAGAAAATGCGTAGACTCAAACACCGGGTAAAACAATAAAACAAATGAAAAGATATCGAGTCCAACCAAATGAGGTGCCTTATCACTCCATAAACTCCTGCCAGCAAATTCGGCTATTTCCCTCGATCTTTGGAGAGTTATCGGATCAGCTTCAATCACATATACTGTAGATGGTCTTGGGATTTTGAATATCGATGATAGCGAGAGCCAAGGTTTGGTCGAGTCGGGAAGTTGTAAACGCTAGTGCTTGTGGTTTCCACGGGATATTGGTTAATAGGTAGCTGGTACTGGGATGCTGATGACTGCAACATTTGCGGCTGTGGTTGGTATTGTCCCGAATATTGACGTTGTGCAATGGCCTGTTGTACCATCTGCCCACTGACACCTTCCTTTATTGCTTGCTTCTCACGCTCGCGAGCATCTATGGCGCTCACAAGTCCCGAGCCCAACCCGATTACTGATGAGCGTTTGCTGCTTTCTTTATCCATGTTGAAAAATGAGGATCCAGTCATGCGAGCAACATGTTCTTGTTCTCGAGCAGAAAGATGAGGTGAGATATCAGGCTGATTCAACATGATGCCTGAACCACGAGAGTTTGGTCTTGGTGGTAATTGATTCAACATGGTGGTTGAGCCACGCGAATTTGGACGTGGAGGTAGCTGATATACCGATTGTTGCGATTGATTCAGCATGATAGTTGAGCCCCGGGAATTTGGCCTTGGGGGTAGCTGATATATTGACTGTGGTCGTGACTGGTTTGCCCAATCTCCCGAAACAGGACGAGACTGCAAAGAAGGGCGCGAGGTGTTTTGGTGGTGGGGATAAATAGGGGAAATAGCTTGATTAGACGCACGCTGCTCGACAAATTGTTCAGGTGTTAACCCAGAGCCCGTATTGTTGTAGCCGCTGTCGACCATGCCGGGTTGCCAAAGAAGACTTCGACGCTTCTCATCAGTGTTGGGCGACATGGCCGGTTTGTTCTCCATGCCGAACCAGGTCGCTCGCTTGTCAGTTTTGCCCATCGGCTCAGGTGACTTCTTGTGGCCAGTTAAGCGGGCCAACGTATCACCAGTACTTGGTCGTCGAGTTGTAGGCGAGTAGGTAAGAGTTGGGCCAAAGTCGACTTGCGGGATATCTGGATTCGGCTCGGCGACAGATCCAGCTTTGTAATAAGTATCACCAATGATCACATCGTTCAAAGTAGGCTCTGGCGTTCCAACGACTTTCATCCTACCCATTCTTGGTTTTGTTGCTGATTGTGTTGATCGATTGGATATAGTGCTAGCGTAGTCTGGAGTTGTCGCTGGACTTGGTTCATGGACACTTTCAACATCTACTATACACCTCCTTTGGGGTGGAGGTGGAGGAGATGGTGTCCGTACGCGCGTCATAACTCGATTCAACGCCTCTATATCGATGGCTTGGCGAAGACTTCCCAGACTGGAGATCGTTCTGGCTCCGGGGCTTTGCGAGCCATCCTGGACTGGCGGAACCGGCTTTCGGGGGATTGATAGATTCGTATCGACCTGAAGGCGCTTCTGCGGAGACTGTCGGGGAGGGTTACGCGAGAAATTAGCATGAGTAGAATCAAGAGGGGCAGAGAATTGGCTGCCGTCGAGCGCCGAGTTCACAGGACTGGTTGGGGATGAGTAATGCGAACTGGAGGCATCTGCCGCGAGTGGTTTTGGAAACTGGGGATTACCATCAAACGCCGTCTTCTCAGGGCTCACGTCCCCATATCCTTCATTTATTTTGGACGGATCAAACGACATGCTTTGTCTCTTTTCATTCTGCCCTGTTGCAATAGAGGCTTCAAACTCTTGCGAGTGGCTGGCGCTCATCATCTGAAAGTATGTTCCATGAGATATACGGCTCCCCGCACGTCTCAATTCTGGGGACATTTTTGGCTGAATATGAGGCTTATCTTGCGGATCATGGGAGAATTCTGGTGGAACGGTTAGATCAACCGGGAGTGGGCTTGGCTTGAGGCCGTCGCCAATTTCTTGACGTTCGGCAACGTGATCGGCTCTGGTCTCGCTTCCTGAGCTGCTTCGACCAGCTGACATGTATCCATCGCCGGCTCCGTCTAGTTGAGGAATTCCATGCGGTGGAGGCTGTGGTGAAACCTCGTCTACTGTTTCTTCTGGTAGCCGCATATCAAAATTGCGCTGTTGCGAGTTTTGCATATAGCCATTTCTATTTCCGGTAGCCGCGTTTTCCGATGCTGTCCTAGCATGAGATTTCAAATGGTCCTGTGGCCCTGCGGAACCTTGATTATATTGCTGCGAAGGCAACCCTAGCGCATCTGAGGAATGGTTGTTTAGTAACCGTCGTGCACTAGATTGTCCATTGGCACCTTCGAATCTTAAGGAGGGTCCGTTATGGGTTGGGAGACTGGCTCGAGTTGGTCCGCGCCTACCTGAGATGCTGCTAACTCTGCTGTTGTTGCTTGAAGTCATCCGTCGAGCTGTGGCGTCTTTCAATTGCTGTCTCCATTCTCGCTCACTCCAGTTGCGGCTGCCCTCTGTGTGGATCAGGGCAGCTACATCTAGGGTGTCCAGGTATCCATTTCGTCGATTGCTTGGCATAGCAAACATCAAGCTGCGCGTGCTAACGGTGTCGGCCAAGAGTCGGGTTGGTCTGCCATAGAGTTGGAAAGCATCAAAAACTGGGAAAAGCCATTGAAGCATGGTCTCAAATCCAGAAACTGCCGCATGGAGTTCAGGCAAAACAAAGACGAAGCCCTCAGCGCTAGTCTCCGGTTGCGTATGGATAGTGATATGGCCTTCCACTTTCACCAATGTCGACTGGTTAACCAACGTGCGTGATTGCGGGTAGATAGCAAATGCAGAGAACGCATCTGTGATCGTTGCGATTGGCTTGGCCTTCTTCTTCTTCGAGGTATAAAATTTGATATTTCCTTTTGGTGGTCGGAGCGAGCGGTCATACGCAGACTTTTTCTTCTGCATCTTCTTTTGTTTCTGGACTTCCTTTTCATCCGCTTGAGATACGACACACCAGCATCGCCTCCACGGAGTGCCTGGGCCAAATCTCACTCGAACCCAATCCTCATGTTTAAAGACCGTCTTTGCAAGGATCGTTTTCATGTTATTTATTGATTTGCCCTTCCCGGCAATTAGAGCACCAGTGTACGACTCTTGAAGTAAAGTGTTTTCATATATCGTCAGTCGGGATTGCTGCCGTCCACTGCGTGAGTGCATTGACAGAGTTGAAATGGAACAGATATCGATTCTTTCCTGCAGTTGAAAGGCTTAGAACATTATGCAGCGGTACGCTCTCCTGGTTTCGAGTGGGAAGGTTCTCAATCTGCTTGACGCGTCAGTACAAATTTGGGCCCAAAAGGATTCTCTAGGTTATTAATCGTACCATCCTGATGGAAGCATCAGCAACGTTGATGAATGTGGGACGGACGTCTCCATCAGGCCCAGCAGCTTCCAAGGCAGCGGGATCCCATAGAGAAAGTACTGTCCCAACGAGCTGCGCAAAGTACTCCGTCCACCTCCTGTCCGGACATTGACGACCCTCTGGAAGTAATCAGTAAGTAATACAGGGGCCAGAAAGCAAAATCGGGGGGTAACCTCCAAGAAACATACCGTTATCCAAGTCATTCAGCTTGAAGAAATAGCCTTCGTAGTACAGCTTGCCCGATTGGTTATTCAAGTAGGAGAATATTGGGTCCAGCTCTGGTACGGACTCTCCCTCAGAGTCAGGCGTCTGCGAGGGTTGGAAAAGTGCCGAAAAAGCACGTGAATTTGCTCGACCTGGTCTTGTTGACGGCGGAGTTGTGTCGGGAACAGGAGCTGGGATCCCCTGCGGGAGTGGGGTCTGGAATGCATTTGAAGATGCCTTGACTGGAGAATCAGAGGCGTCAGAGGGAGGTGTGGGAGGTGCAGAGGGATGATTCTTGGAGCCTCTGCGGCTTGATATGAACGAGAGGACTGTGATTAGATAGAATTGTCAGCGAGCCCATTGACGTCGCAAGCACAGCAACACGCTCATTTCAGGCTATTCCGGAACAGCCAGAAGGTGCACATACCTCTGAAACGACCCATGGCTGATGTCACTCTTGGATGACAGCAGGATGAGAAAAGGAGATCAAAGCAGAAGCATTGTTGATGGAATAACGATGGAAAAACAAAGCTGGCAACAGGTGCAGTGTGGTTCAGCTTCCCCTCAGTCTTGAGAGGTGGCTTGAGATGAAGTTGTCAGCTTGTTGATTGAAAGACAAGGAGGAACAGAGCAAAGAGTGTTGGCAAAAAGAGGTCAAGCAGGAGGTGCGAGTGATGATGTCAGGTGGAAAACATAGTCTGGCACTGTTGGGGATCAGCAAGCCATGGTCGTAAGACAAAAGAAAGAGAGGAGGCAGCCCAGCGACTCTGCCAGAAGTTGCTGCAGGATCGAAGTGAACGAAAAGGAAAGACGATCGAGTCAAACGAGCGGAATCGGGAGACAGGCCGGGGGGGTGGAAGGGTTTGTGAGACAGTCAGTGTGCAGCGCTTGTCTTGGGGATGATGGCTTTAGGGGCAGGCGATGGTCGAATTCTAGAAGCGCCCCCCCGTCTCCTCGGCTCAATTGCAGGGCAGAAGCAATCAATAGTCTGTCTTTGGGCTATTTGTTTCTTTTTTGGTATTTGTTGACGCCGGATCTACATACAATTGCGTCTCCAAAGACCAGAGGACGATGACATGAATGTTCTCCTTGCGCCCATAGCTCCAAGAGGAATCCCTGCGGTCAAACTCCTCAGCCAAATAATAACTATAACTACTAACTACTGCATCCGTCGCTTCGTCTGTTTTTCAGCGCTGCTCCCGGCATCGGTATCCCAGCATCGCATATCACCGCATCCGACCACGTTGCCCGTCCATGGCCCTGTTTGCCAATTCCAACCCGAATCAAAGCAAATAACCACCTCTGATCCCAATCAAATATCCCTCCCGCAATCCAAGCTGAGGTTTGATGCCCAGAAAGCTGAAGAACAGCATCCGTGCAAGTCTCCGTCTCCGCAGCCCCATCGCGGCGCCAAAGAAAACACAAGACGGAAAAAATCAATAAAAAAAAAAATTAAGAGTGTCTCACTGTGCGATCTGCGCCATCTTGCCAGCGATTGGCCCGGGCTATTTTTGGGCGAAACCCTTGATCCAGGTTCGCTCCCCGCCGGGCCAGCGCTTCATCGCAGGGGGAACACCGGCCTGTAACCTGAGCAGCTTGTCAGCCAGCTAGTTGATTGTTATATAAGAGGTTTCACTTTCGCTCATGCTTTGTTTGATGACTGGGCCACTGGCACCCATCTTCACCTCGCTCAACCGCTGTGAGACAAACAGTCGGGCCCAACAGCGTCCTGCTCGACGCCTCGACTTTGTCACGCCAGCAGCAAATACGGAACGCCCCTTCAAGGAAACTCACGGCAAGGCCTGTAGTCACTTCCACCAATGTAACCACGGTTTCTTGTCCCATCTCACTCAAGCCAAGGGGACGATGGCTATTGGCTCCAGGCGCTGAAGACTGCATACAGAGATTCGTAAGGCAGTTGGCTGGGCAGCCGGTGGGTTCCGTTCGGCGTTCTGCAGACAGAGAGAATATCAACACGCTCTTGTCGCGGTTCACACACACACCGGCAGCGCAAGGGCGTTCGGGATCGAAGCAATCGTCAGCGCTTGGAACAACTCAGCCACACTTCTCCTTCGTCACCAAGCCATAGACGAGGATCTCGATGGCTTGTCATTGCTGATGACGCGCCCGATTGGATGGTTTTCCCTGCATTTGATTCCAGGCACAAGAGAATCTGCTCTGCTGCCATTTGCTGGGCACACACGCATTGTAATCAGCCTGCAGACGAAAATGTGCAAAACCCCATGCCCCATCCGCGCGGCGCCAAACCCAGCCACCGAGGAGTCGGACGTGGAAAGGCGCATTGCCTTCCCTGGCCTTTTTGCTGCCAATACTCACTATCCAGGTTTGAATCAAGGAACATCGTCAAGCCAAGGAGACTCTCTCTTATTGTGCCAATAGAGGTAGCTCACATCGTTGCATCTCCATCTACCTTCTTACTGAAACCTCACCGTCAAACCACTGACATCCACCATCCATTCACAATGCCATCCGCCGTCAAGCTCTACGCCGCCATCGACGACAACGACGGCGGAGTCTTCAATCACTGGTCATTCTTCATCGACGGGCCGCAAAACGAGGGCAAACTCGTCTTTCAAGCAATGGGCTCCGCCGGTCGATTTCGATTTGAATCAAAAAATGCAGATTCCCGTCTCTATCCAAATCTAATCGAGCTATTCTACGTCGCTGAAATCGATGCGGCAAGGATCAAAGATGTCCAGGTCATCGCTGAGAATCTCCCCATCCCCGATAGTACCCCGGGCTGGAATTGTCAGGACTATGTCCTGGATCTGTTCAAGGCGCTGGAGAGGGATGGGCTTGTTGACAAAGATGACGATGGGTATCGAGCGCGGTACTCGGAACTTTGGCGCAAGCAGGATGGGCTGGCTTAAAGTAGTATATTGACTGTGAAAAAAAGGAATATCCAAAAATTCATTTCCATATATTACCCCTATCATTCCGCTATAGCATAAGTCAACAGAGGGTCGATGGCTTCTAACCCATTCATATCATCATAATCTGTCATTGTTCCTTCACCAGTAGTCTCCATCCCCATGATAGAGAATCGTTCCTGGTATGAATGTGCATCCTGCATCAGAAAATCATCGTCAAGCTGGCTATTTTTCCGTGCAGCTTGTCCCGCCCCAGAAGCTGGATAATCGATCTGAGAGCATCGAGATCCAGGTTAAAACTATCATCACCGGCCATGCATCGGCCCGGTTGCATGGAACAAAAATCTGAAATATCATTC